ACACGCACATCTCTGGTTCGCATTGACAGTAATTTGAACACAGATTGGTACATTTCTGACGTGTTACGTCCGGTGGTTGTGCCCTATCTTCGAGGCCTTCCAACAAGATAATGCATGACCGGATGTTGCACGTCGAGTTCTGATCTTCATGATACACAGCGTATTCGATTCTACTTGGTTTTACTTTCAAGCATCATATTCAGGCTCTTTAATTATCTTGAACACCTTTAATTTGAAATCCTTATGTATAGGAAACCATTTCTATGAGTTAATCTTGTAAATCTGCTTTAAAGTATGGGATAATGAGGCCATTTTATATTGGACCATTATATAACGTTAAAATTTTAAAAATAGTTCATGAACATTTGACAAAAACATATTTTCTTTTAGTAATGATTATTTCTTAGTATTTAAAATTAGTAATAATTAATATAAAAATAAAATAATGCATACTGGAACTGCCTTAATAAGTTTAAAAGCAGAATATCACTTTGTTCATGATTCATTTCATTGTCCATTTATAATTTTTAGAGCCATAATTAACCTGATTGTATAGAATCCTTGAAGACATAATATATTTAAAAAGTAACAAAATATGTCAGTGCCCACATTTATCAGAATTGTTTTAAATGGGCCTTTTTTTCTTCTAGATATGTCTTGTAGAGCTCGATTGGCTACACTGAATGAAAAGTTAACATCTTTGGAGAGAAGAATAGAATACCTTCGAAGCTAGGGTATGTCTTTTGTATTTCACTGTATAGTTATGGGCAACTGATGTTTTAAAATTGTCTTTTGCCCCCTCATATTTTTTCTAGTAAGTACATTGGATGTTTTAAAAAATTTCATGACTAAGTATCTCTTCAGTGTTTTGTCACAAGCTCATGATTTTAATTTAAGAATGAATCAAACAAAGCAGGTAGTTTTGATACTGACGTTTTATCGTACCGACAGTGAAACTTTTACGAAGCAGTTCACTTTAGTGCCTATTATGGATAAGCTTGACATCACAACATATTCATGACATTTGTGCTTGTGTTTGATATAAAGTTGAAATTTGTTTAGTTTGATGTTGTAGAAAAGGAAAATCCTGCAGCCAACTGGATCTTCTAGTTCACAGAAGGATTTGCTTCATTCTTTCAAAAATTCTGCCTCTACTCAATCAGTGAACTTCCACATGAAGCACTAGATCACCATACTAGCAATCTAGTTCATCAGTGCTCTAAACTGCATGCGCCCTAACTTTGTTCGCTATTTTTATGACTGTTTTCATTACATTGTTCATATTTAAAAACTTTCCACATACTGACTTCTGGTGTATTACACAATGGTAAGACAGAAATTTCAGAAAGCTGTTGTCTTTACGACACAAGATTATGAATCCTTTCTCAATCCCTACCGTCGCAGAAGCTTCATCAGTTGCTAAGTCTACTAACTTATTTATAGGAATATTTTCAGATCTGATAAGATCTTTTAACTGCTAAAAATAAGTCCTGTCCTGTAGTTCATCCTGTTAACAGTATATTTACCAGTTCCTCTATTTCAAAATTATCAAATTCTTGTAAAAACTGCCAATTGAGCTGTATCAATTATATCAGTCGATTCTGCAAGTTGTAGGGAGAAATATCTGCCGAGATCAGTTTGTTTTAAGTTGTAAGGTAACGTCAAAATTCATAACCGCAACTCTTCTCATTTACTGCATTTTCAGAAATTTATACAGGTTTAATAACATATATTATCTCAGTTTTATTTTTGAAACTATCAAATAATGCATCTGCAGCTTCTAAAAATGCAGTTTTGATTATTTCACTGTCTTTGTATGGTGGTTTCTTACTCTGTGTGGTAATACAGTACAAAGTCTTTAAATCCGGACTCGTCAGGACTTCGCCAATTCCGGATTATAGATCATCAATTTTAAATCTGGTTAGATGGCATGCAGAAATTATAAAATTAAAAATATGAAACTGTAATTTATGAAATAAAGAACAATTATGATCTAAAGGGTATCAAAATTCACACACACACACGAAAAAAAAAAAGAGCTTAATATTTATTTGTTTACTTTATTAAACATTTCTTTCAATGTAAGTAGTTTAAGTTGCTTCATTTTATGTGATAATACTTTCTCTTTAATTCTATAAACAGACATAATTTCTTGTTCAGTTACAAAGTTCCGCTGTTTCAAGTCATGTAATTGCTCTGTGCGAGATACCTTTCTAAGTTACCGCCGAGTCTGTAATTGTAATTGCTTTTTTCTAATTGCAAAATTTTTCGTTTCACTAACCTCTCTGTCACTTTCTTCATGCCTTTATCCATTTTTTGCAGCAATTTCACTTTTTGTTTGATGTATATTGAAACATGCTTCCGCTGTGTAGATCCTTTGGCAGCTCAAGAATCGGAAACACTTTTTGACATAATCGAAATTTCAAGCGTATTTTTTATAAAATTGCTCTAACAGTCTGCAAAAAATAATAAGCTGGATCAAATTAGAAGGAACAATGCACTCTGCAACATTAACTGAAATGGATAATTTTAGCCTAGTTTATACTGTCCGTTATACATTAAATGCACATGCGTAAACGTATTATGCGCATGCATAAATGCTACGCATGTGCATAAAGTTTGTAGCTTTGAGGTCCGGATTTATAGACTTTGTACTGTATTTCAAACTCAGAATGATGCCTCAGTTGCTGCTTTATTCTTGTTTAATGATTTTAAAAAAGTTAATTGTTGAGCATTAAGTTTGGATTTTAGGTGCCTTTTCTTTCCTTAGCACAGAATTCAGTGGAAAATCCTTTTAAATCCCTGCATGAACAGTTCGGAAGTAACATTTGACATTCCCTTTTTTCACAACTGATACACTTGCACAGCACAATAAATACACACAATTTGTTCTTTACTCCAGTGAAGAAATCAAGGGTTTTTCACTCCGAATTAAAGTGACAAGTGTTTTGCTTGAACAGACATCATTAGAACAGACTTAGCTTAGTACCAATGCATAAATCAAAATATCCAAATTAACAAATATCTAATATACACATGATCTAAAGTGATTTATTCATAAGCAGTTACTATTTTAGGACAAAAAATTAAAATGGTAAAGAACCAAGACAATTAAGAAGTTATTTTGGAATTAAATTTTGTTCACTTTCTTTAACCTTACATACATTATAAAAATCTGTATTTTGTTCTGCAAACATAGTATTTAATTTTTATTTAATGTATAAGTAGTTTTAAGTATTTCATGCTTTGTTCTAGGTCACAAAAGGTGAAACACTGACATAAGATGAAATCTGCTAAATGAAGTTAGAGATAGAAAATATTTCTAAACAAGGATTTTGTAAATTTTTGCAAACTTTTTCTACTGTAGATATGTATATTTAATTTGTATGTGTATAATTAATGTTTTATGTGCATCAGTAAATAAAATGTAGTTTATCTAAAATTTTTGTTTTATATCTTCAAGAAATACAGGTATGACTTAAAAATCTCAAATAATTTACGTGTTGTAACAATGCAGAGTGAATTTGTTGACTTTTTTTACATCCATTTTTGTTTTCTATGATATGTAATATTAAAAATTTATAGCTATCCCATTCAGTATAAAAGCTGCATGTTGGAAATAAAATTCTTACACAAGACAAAAATTATATTACATTTTTCTTGTTTAATGTTTTTTTTTTGTCTGCACGTGAAATTAATATTGGATTGTTTCATTGCACATCTTAACATTTTTTTACCTTTAATTCATTGTCATGTATTAATTCAAATTTATTTTATGTACTTTTGCATCGGGCTTGGTTTATTTAATTATGGCAAAGCACACTAGGGCTGTCTGCCTAAGGCGAGGGATGCCTTCGTGGAGGACTTTCTAAGGGAAACTGGCCCGTATACACGTTACACATGGGGAAAACCACGAAAACGCCCATGCAGCCAGCCCGTTCGCGGGATTCGAACCTCGGACCGAACTACCAGTGTTCAGCGACTTTACCGCTGGTGGGCTGTATACATTTATACATTGGGAACTGAAAGTGGTGGCTACGTAGCACAATTTTGCTTATCTAGATGTAAGAGATACAAGGTTTAATTGGGTCTTCCATCACTTAACAGGATTAGATAAACACAATATATGCCAAACTAATATGAAAAAGTAGATGTTAACTTGACATAAATAGCTGCATCATATGCACTGGATCCATCCCTTGGGAATTAAATGATCACGACTTCAGTGCGATGCATTGCCATGTAGCAGATATTGGCTTACATTGTAATGGATTTCTACTGCCATTTCATCCCCGCCAGCATTCTGTACCTCAGAACACCCATGGGGATAAGCAGGATATGTTTGGCTTCTCTTTCTTTTCAGTGCTGAAAGTGGAATGCAATTTTCCAACAATATCATAAGCATTCATAGCCACTTTTTATGATGCTATAAAACCCTAAAGTCTTGAAAATAAGATCCTTTCTGTATTTTAAGAAATAAAAGCACGAGTGACCTGCAGTTTGAGTACGAGTTATCCTGCAGCAATTCTGAGAAAGAGAACCTTTTTTTTTTTACCCCCTTTAAAAATTTTCTTGAAAAGTCTTATCTGTGGCCAATTTAAATTGTTTTCTTCAGACATATTACTGTGCAAAAGCACTTTGTACTGTAAATGTCCTGCCTACAATGATTATGCATCATGTTCCTCAACTTGCTTGCCAAATGACACTCTAGCAGTCTTTGGTTGCAAGCCTGATTTACCATTAAAATTTGTCTATTTTTTGGACCACTGGCACAAATAAGCCATTCAATGAAATTAATAAATTGCTTTTAAGTCCTAAAAGTCACACTTAAAATTTATTTTACAAGAGTAAAACAGACTATTCATCATTGAATGAATTGTATACTAGGATATTTTGCATAATACATAAAAATCATTTGATATAAAAATGTAAATTATTAAAATTATTGTACAAAAAACATTAAAATGTATCAATGTAAAGTTTAAATAAGATTACAAAAGTAATGGATATTTTTTTTTATTGTGCACAAGGCAGACATATTGAGCAGTAATATATAAAACACAATATACGAATTTCACTATACACAAACTAGCAAAATTCCAGCTATATTTTACATATTAAATACATCAAAATTATTTTTATATGTAAGAAAAATGTCTTATTAAATTAAAAATTCTTCATAAAGGATATTTTTCCCAAATGAAACTATTGTAGTATTGCGCACATAAATGTCTGAAAACTATAACATATTTTGAATTTCAAATGTCTGAAAGGATCTCTAATTGTGATATTTGCTACAATTATTACACCTAATTTAACGAACATTCTGCAGGATGTTTAAATAATGATTGCATGCTTAATAACATCTTTAGAAATGTTAATCATAGACTTAGGGTTCCAATTTAAGAAAAGGGAAACTTTCAAACTGCAATATAAGTTTGATCATTTTTCAATAGAAAAATAATTTTTAAACATGTAAAAGAAAAAGATGTTCCATTTCCAAATTAGTTGAACATTCTTCAAAATCTTTGTAAAGTTAAAGTTGTCCAAGATAAAAAATTAAAATCCTGGGGTTATTACTTACAAATTCTGATTTATTTATAGGCTACCCATGGTATTTTTTTGTTGTAAAATTTTGATATATCTTTATACTGGAAATAAATTCCTCTAGACACACCTTTAGTAGGAATGCAAACAATTCCTAGACCTGATATATTATTCTTTAGAGCAGTTTAGCTCATAATTTTGATAATTTCTTCCAGGACCAAGCACAGTCCCATTCGCCGAAATATTTTATAGTTGATCCTTATATTAATTATTTCATAATTTTCTTTTTTAAGGAGGAATAGCCAAAATTTACAATTGCACATTTTTGCTAAAAGGTTTTGCTGTTACAATACTGGTCATTTGTCAAACTGGAATCATATGTTCTATGATCACTATGTTCATGTTAGGTAAGCAGTCTTTTTTAAACATATCCAAGAGTTAAAAAAAGAAAATTGCAATTGTTTTCAAATTATAATTTAGTGAATGTAAAAGAAATTTATGTTCTGAAAAGAAATAATAAACAGAATATTTAGCAAGATTATTATATAAATAAAATTCATACGGAGTTGCATGAATGTGACATACATATTGGGGAGACAAAGATATGAGTAAAAGGGAAAATCCTTAAAACTAATGTTAAAAGTACTAAAAACACATATAATCCAAACATTACCTTGATTTCTGTAAACGGACATTCTTATCAAAAACTTTTATCATAGAAAACAGCATACAAATTTCGCATTACTTTACATACTTCATATAGAAATACATATTTTTATCAACATAAAAACACTGAATTTTTAAAATTGCTGTCAAAATTCTAAAATATGTGCACTTTTCCAGTGGAATAATACTTATTAATCACAATATGCAACTGTTTAAATACTAGTAATATAAAATATACATGTAAACTCTGAACTATAAAATTCCTTGATTTTCCATAGTAATTTTTCCAGCAGTTGTTTTTATAAACTATTTAATATACCAAGATATACATATTTTTAAATAAAATATATTCAAGCAATTTTTCCAAATTGACTGAATATATTTTATTTAAAAATACGTATATCTTATATTTTTATACATTTCAAATATAAAGAATTAAATCGGCATAAAGTGATCAATTTATCTCATTTTTGACATACAAAACAGAAACAGTTACATGGAATCCAACAGTTCTGTGTGTTTAGCTTTTCACTGTTTATCTTATAAATACATATACCACATGACTGGCAGAGGAACCCATTAGGCTGAAAACATACACAGAAAGTAGACTACACAGATTTAAAAAAAAAAAAAAAAAAAAGCATTTTGTTGAAACATTGACTAATTTAGAAATAAAGCATTGGCATTGATTCAACAACATAAAACACTGCTTAAAAACTATAAAAATGGATTAAGAAGGCAGTTTACACAGAAACAGCCGATTCTCATTACTTGTACATTTTTCTCAGTTTTAGTCAGGAACTTAAACACATGTAAGAGTTTCACTGCTGAAACCACCAAAGACCAAAATCTAACACAATCAGAAATCACAATCAATTTTTACTTTCAACATTTAATCAGCATACCTTCTAAAAGATAATTCTAATCATAGAAAAGAAGTCTTATACAGCTTAAAAACAAACAGCTGATCCAGTTTAAGTCTTGCTTCTGTCTATAAAAGATCTATAACAGTAATTAGGTATAACTACTCAATTATTACCTTTTGAAATGGAGCACTGTTTAACTCAACATGCTGTTTGCTGATATACTTCTTGTGCTTTGATTTGTTCACGATTAGGTTTTTTCATGACTGGAGGAGGTTTACTTTTTATAGGTGGTTTAAAAGAAGACACTCCACCACCACTAACAGTTTCAGTTTTTTCTGGAAGTATTTCACTTTCACTAGGTTTATTTTGTACATCCACTTTTTCTGTCTTTGTTCCCCAGTTCAATTCAACAGTTTCTGCTCGAATAGAGTTATTACTAATCTGTGCTGATGGAATCTGTTCTGATTGTGCATTGTGTTGTATAGTTTTCTCTTTGGAATCGAGAGCTAACTCAGGTGATGCAGGTCCCAAGTTGTCCCCTGTACTTGCACTACGCCGAACAGCATAAAAAGTTTGGGTTTGTGCATCTAAAGACTGGGGACCAGTAACATGACTTGCACTACGTGACATAGTTCCTTTTTTCATTGTGCACTGATTAGATTTGGCAAATCTCTCAGCTGCCGTGAGCTCAGGGCTATCAGTACTGCTTGCTGGGCTCAGAACTGAGTTATCATCTGTAGGGCTTTTGTTATTTTTGGTCCCTGAAATCGGACTAGGTAGATTGATAGGAAGATCCAGAACAAGATCGGGTGCATCACTGCAAGCTTTCTTTGATCTCCTTTCAAAATTTTCATATGTCTGGCAACCAACGATTGCAGTCTCTCTTTCTATATCATGAGCGGTTTCCAAGTCAGGAGGATCAGGAAGTTTTGCACTATCTTGCCCTTTGTTTTCAGAATCTCCACAAACTGGATCTCCAAGTTTGGCTGGGAATGGTTGAGATCCTTCCCATTCTGGAGTTTGTGGGTGAAGACTGTTCAAGCTCCTGCGATCCAACGAGGAGGTAGAGCTGCAGTCCTCAGGAGCACCAGATGTTGATAATGACTTTGGGCTATGACTAATTCCAGAGAGGGAATCACTGCTGCTGCTAGTTCGTCTTTTTTCACTACCATCCATGCTGCTTTTATCTTTATCCTCATCTCTACATAAAACAAAAAATAAATTATTACAAATTGTCTGATTTTGGATCTGCACTAACTACATAATATGCACCACTATATATTCTATACTCAAGGCAAAGCTAACTTATGAACTTTGGGAAAGTTAGCAACTGATTTCTACATATCCCTTCTCATTTAGCATTGTTTTAAGAACTAAAGTATACACTTGGATACTGCTGTCACCTTAACACAAAACTTATGTTCAGTGTGGCTAAGCTTTATTTCAGCTTCTAATCATTTGTTTCTTGCTTATTACATAAATCTTTTGTAAAATTTTACAAAAATATTAAACATAAAAGTCTTTGAATGAGCACCAACAAAGGCTTTATAAGTGTGTATGGTTGAAAGGCACACATATACAATCCAATTAACTCTTGTAAATATCCTTCGAAGAGTAAAACAGAAGTATTACTATTTAATATAATCCAACATTTATCATTAACTGGGAAATTTTTTTAGAACAAAATGAATTCTCCAATATTTATCAAGTAATTAATATTAATTACAGAATTATGAGTTCCTGAAGCATTTATATTTTACACTTGTATAAATAGTCATGCATATTTTGAAATTCTCTGATAATTTTTATAAATTTATAATAATTTCTTTTTAACATCTAGCTGGATTCATCTGCTTTAATAAACAAATGTTTATACTAATACCTGCTAATTTGTTAATAACATCATTATTAATCCTTTGAAAAACAATTTTCTTTTGCTTCATGAAATCAATTTCTTCCTCAATAATTAAAAGACTGATATTGTTAAAGATTTTTATTCTAAAAAAATGCATTTAATGTGCAGACGAAACTACTAAACTTACTTTTTTAACCCTTTGTACTCTAGGCATTTTTCGCTTAAGCGAATCAGCAACTCAAGATGATTTTCCACATATTTCGTGAATTTCTTACAGCTAATTTAAAGTTATTTCAAACACAGCTGAAAGAAATTTAATAGTTCTTTTATGTCTGAATATACTTGTGATCTTTGGTTATTTCGCGGGATACAAACGGTATTCTTTGCCATATTTCTTCAGTTTCTACGCACATTATCCATTCTGAATTTTCTCTCTTTTCTGCTGAATCACTGTCGCTTTCATTTTCACTATTATATTACATCAAATTTTCACCTTCTTACACATTTTTATTTCATCACTGCTTTCCTTCTCTCTATTGTCAAGTAGTCTATGCATATATGTAATTTTATTCTTCATCAGCAAAAAATAGAATTCATTTTCATTTGAATGATTTCTTCATCATGTTCCATGCTTATTGAGCTCCGTAACTTTGAAAATAATATCCTATTGCCACGAACGTCAAAGACGCACATAACAATAAATCTAAAAAACCTATTTAAGATTAATGATTGGCATTATTTTATACGCATGTATTGTTGAATACAGTCATGAAGCAATATTGCCCAAACCAAACCTAAATAAATATCATTATGGGTCGAATTATTGTATGGTGATCAAGAGTCACCTCTGCAGTTATCGTATCAAATCAAGTGATGACTAAGAGTCACCTCTCGAGTGCAAAGGGTAAATAATATCAGTACTGAGAATAAATCCAGAAAACTTTTCTGAAATAAATACCGTCTATGTCAACTGCCACTTATTTAATAAAGGATTCAGAAACAGAAAGTATTACTATTTAATTTAATATAATGAATCATACATAATAAAATGCCTATAAAATCTCCTGACACTTTTTCTATGGAGGTTTGAGATTTTGATTTGTTAAAATGATCCTTAGGAAAAGTGCATCCAAGACCACTGACTTTGAAAAAAGTGAATGGATAAATATCAGTTTCCATTATAATTTTTTCTGCTTGTGCACAGTGAAAAGCATAAAAATAAAAATGAGAAAAGAAATATGTTAAGCAAAAAACTTCTACAGCAAAATTTGGCTTCCCTGCTTTTTCAAAAATTCTCCAAGCAATAAAATAAATTCATCACCATTTTCCTTGTAATATAGTTTAAGCTACACATTTTTGATTTCATCACATGCATTTTTGGCCAGAAATCATGGGTTTTGCTTTCAGACCTTGCTAGAACCTTCCAAATTTTTCAGGCTTTAATTTCCGAAAGGAAAACTGCCTCACCAGCCAATCTATTGTCATACCTACCAGCATTAATTTTTTATTTATTACTTTTTTGGGGGGGCAGGGGTAAGCATAAAGTGAACTTGGCAGAGAAAACTGCCATATACCTGAATATTTTTAAACAATTAATTACATGTGCAAAATCTCTTTTGATCAAAAATGAAATAAACTTTAAAAAATAATTACAGCAACTCTTTTGGGTTAATCTTTGAATTATGGTAACTTGACAATTTTTTGGTGAAAATTTGGCGACCAACCCTGCTAGTTTTTGTTTGGACGCCATTTTGTTTTCACGAAGTAAAGGCATGTTTTCTTTTTTTACTCAACATTTTTTTCCAACAATCTGCTAGTCGAATTACGCTTATGCTAGAACTTTTATGGAAAAAAGTGCTTAATCATGACGAAGATTAGGTGCGAAATTGGGAGAAAGTGGAGAATCGCAAACTGCTTGCCGCGTTTTTAAGAATTGCACATACACGGTATCCATGTACACATCGACCTATTTTCACTTAAAAAAAAATCCCAGAATTGCACAAAAATGGCATTGCGCACTCTTGACTTTATCCATGTACACTGCTAAAGTCCTAGCTAGTAACCTTTATTGCCTTACCAAAATGTCGCCAAACTACCTGTTACCATATTCCAAAGATTAGCCCTCTTTTGTTTTCCTGAAAGGTAATAAATCACCAAAATGAAAGATAAAGACAATTTAAAACATGAGAGAAAATAAAAATATTTTGATAGTACTTTTTGAAATATAATTTTAACATGTTATACTTATTTTAATGATATTTTTAAAAAAAATTCTGAATCGCTATAAACGTTTATTAAAAAAATCATAACATTTGGAAACTTTTGAACCAAAAATTATGAAGACAAATAGATCCTAAAATCCCCAAAATGTTGCTAAGTCAGCAAATTTAGTGACACACAACAAAAGAAATTCACATTCCCGAAAGGGAAAAGGCTTTTTTAGTTTCAAATGCAAAATGAAGAGGAATGCAAACCATAATATAACTAATTCTTTGCTAAATGCATGCAAATTAAATATAATCTGGCAATGAGTTGCATAAAAACTGAAAATTCAGAAAAAATGAATTTCATGAGCAATGTTGTAAAAATTAGCATTTCTAAAAATTTTACAAAATTTTGTAAAATTTGGCAGATATTCAGATTATTCTTAGTGGCTTTGAAGATGAGATAGTTAAAACTGATAACACAAATATTCTAAAATTTATGTTCTTCTAATAACAGCAAATAGTTTCAGAATATCTCTCCCACCCTTTTTCAAGTGTCCTATTCATTTTGTCTATAGATTTGAACAGTTCTGAATTTATTGATGGGAGTGAATGGAAGCATGATCTTTATGAAAGTCATGCTTTGACCTTCTCTAAGATCACATGTTGTTGAAGCATAGCTGTTAGGTCAAAGACCAAGACCCCCCACAAAAATGCAAGCAAGTAGTACTCTTCTTGATAATACCCTTTTTGTAAGGCTGCATGAACAACCAAATACCTGAAAAATTTTACTCCGAGATGGGTGACAGTTGTTCCCCCCCCCCCCCATTTATGAGACAAATTTGCAATGGCCCAGTTATGAGCCACATAATTTAAATTCAGTACCCATCCAATATATTAATTTACACTCAGAATGGCAATCACAGAATGGAGACAGAAATATCAACAGAGCAAAATTATAAAATGTTTACAAATTTTGGCCAAAATTAAGGATTTTAAGAACTAAAAATTAGTTCCAAAAAACCTCAGGACCGTACAAGCTCTGCAATTTTTTAATAGCAAAATTAAATTTGCAAAGTTACCTCTTAAGCATTTGTTAGTTAGGTTTTTTTTAGAATGGTTGATTTTAAAATTTAAAGATTTTAGCAGTTGGGTTCACTGGAAATACTATGTATAACATAGGATAATTTCCAAAACTGTTATCTTTTGCATTTGTCCTAAACGTTTAAATGTAAACCCTGAAAACTTGCTAATTGATGTGGTACTACTTTGACATTGATATGAATTCTAAAAGAAATAAATTGATTTAAATATAAAAATACATAAATATGTATATAAATAGATTAAAAACTTTAAAATAAATAAAAATACAATATAAAAATTCTGATGCTATCTTCTGCAGCTTCAGCTTTCAAATTTAAGTAATACATTTTGCACTGAAAGTGAAATATTTATTCAACACCAGTATATGCTTAGCTGTATATGGATGGTCTACATCACAGCCTAAACTCAGCAATAAAAGGTTTAAGAATATAATTTGTGATACGCAAGAATGATAACTGTAAAACTCAGCAAAATTTAACTAAAGAAGTGAAAGAATGCACTGCCTTTCACAGAAAACCATTTACTATATAGTTTCAGCATGAAACAGATACCTACTTGACTAAGTTTATATCACAGTTTTAAAGAAAAGCTACAAAAACATGCTTTGCATTGAACCCTTCAATGCCATTTGTTATTCCAGATTATGTTGACAGTACAATTCAAAAGCAAAGAAAAGATGCTGACATCAGCATCTTTTATACAATAAAATGTCAATATAAGTCACCAGATTTATTTAATGCATAAATGATTTATAAGAGAACACAATAAAAGCTAAATGGGATACAAGTGACCACCACATAACACTGTCAAGTTTCTATGTCATGTTATACAGATTAATGTATAAAATAAAGAGTAAGTGTTAAAAACTTTGATATGCTTTAAAAATTAACAAAATTATATTATTTTTATTTAATGAATATCAAATATATTTATTACATACATGAATAATTGGTAAAAGCACAAGTGCCATACTTTCCTGAATTTCTTTTATAACTGACAGAAATTCATAAAATTAAAAGAACAGCATATTCATTATAATCTTCTCATAACAAATTATTTTGGTCAGTTATCCATAGAAACATTTTATTACGATTTGTTTTAAAACTTTTTGAACAAATGTAAATTTGTTTGGTCATTCCTCTGGCTTGTTACAAATAAACTGCTTTCGACTTAATTTTAGTTAAACAATATATTTACTAATACATTTTAAATTTTAATCTAGCCACTCTACTCTCTCAATGTGTCTCAGAAATGCTGTATTTCATGGAACTTTCCTCAATTTTCCACGTCACAATGAAATTATGTTGTAGTCTTGGCAGGGATTACTTGCATTACACAAAGATTGCTAGTAGATTGTCTAAATTAAAAATATTTATTATTTAAAGTACATGATAGTCACTTGTCTCAACTTCATCCATTTTTGCCAAAAAATACTGCAAAGGATGAAATCTATATATCCTGCAGTCCCCTCATTCTCTACCACCAATCTTTTGCAAGACTCATACCCTACTTCTCTGATGATATATACATTCATAAATTTACATGCCTTACATGGGATTTGAACAAAAGCCCAATAGCATAGAAATCAGTCTATATGCATTAAACATTGCACTTTTTCTGGCTACACAGACTGACTGAATACTTCTACAAGAATAATGGATATGTCTGTTGGAATCAATGGATATGTCTGGCAATTATTTACAATTGAAAGGATTACAAAATATTGATAGAAGAGTTGTAATTCAATAAATACATAACACACAGAGTACATCATATTGGAAACGTCACAGGTTAATTAATACAGCATAAGTAAATAAATATACCTAATTTTTAAGAGGATGTACTTGTCTGGAATAAGACCTTCCCTTCCTAGGAAACTCCCTTTCCACCAATCATTTGATACCTGATTATGTAAGAGAAGAGTATCGCCCTTCTTGAAAGAAAGCTCTCTTTGTGAACGAGCATTGAAGTCAAATTGTGCAACGGCTTCCATCACTTCAGTTTCTGAAATGGACCATAAAGTGGTTTTATTTAATTTTTAAATTATATATTTATATATAAATAATAAGGGTGTTAAAAAAGTAGTTTTTTTTTTTTTTTTTTTTTTTTGTTTCGTTTGTTTGTTCCTTAGGGATGCTATGCTTCCAATTGCAAAGCACCTTAAAATAAGATGCACAAATTTATGAAAATAGTCTAAGAGTAGGGACGACGAAGATTCTATTAACAATAACTTTGTGTGTGTGATCTTCATGGAACGAATTAATTTAGCAAATTATTCTTTAATCAGTTAAGGATGTGTGCGAATTAGAAATCAAATGCCCAAATATTTTTAATTTTCATCGGATTTAATATGACTGGTTACATCTACAAGCGTGCCATAACTTTTCTGGAAAAATGTGCCCTCTTTTTTAAATTTATTCATACCAGAAATTGTGCCTCCTTTAAATTCATGAATTTTTCATTTAAGCTATAGCCACTGAAGTTTCTGTTAATAATCTATTAATTTAATTTGCAATAAATACAATTTAAAAGATCATCACCAAGATACAATTTGAATTCCTTTCTCTTAAATAATACAAACATGCCATTTATCAATATCCCTAAAATATGGAAGACAACAATCAAAATCGTAAAAACAACCTTGTATTTAGCGTAAGTATACTGAAACACTCAATCGATTTCGAGGGCAGCTAAAGATCCCTCCTCATCAGGAGAAAGAAATACATAGAAAGAGAAATAAAGGGGAAGAAGTCTCAGAAACACGTGGTCCTTATCAGCACTGCACGTGGTTATACCCGGATTTTTAATCAGAGTTACACTGGCTGCCTACTTTTACTGAGCCAGGCTATCTGATCAAACATGTAACACAAAGGAGAAGAAAAATTAGCGAAGTTAAAATAGGGAGCGAGGGGCAACTGCTCCTTCACACTCAAAATCTGAACTTCGAATAATGGAAAGCAACCACTGAACGGATTTTTAAACCCTCTGGTACCACGAGGAGGTAACGCCATCTATCGGCAAAAAATTGATAGTAGAAATCGATTGAGTGTTTCAATATACTTACGCTAAATACAAGGTTGTTTTTACGATTTTGATTGTCACATTAGCGTGTTTCTCTTCTAGTCATGAAAGACAACAGTTTGTTTATATAATGAGCCAGCTGAGCACACAAAGGAGTCTAACATTTATTTTCCTAGAAGAAATCTTGCAGTGTGGATCAATATATATGGTTTCACATGTCACAGAAAGAAGTTTTGTTTAAAGCACCTTATCAAAAGTACAATCTCAAAACAACCAAGTACTAGATTCTGATTTATAAATTAATGTGTTTATGTTTTCTGAATTATCTAACTTTGTGGTTTATTTGTAGCTTTTTTTCGGGGGGAGGACTAGAAGTTCTGTTTAATTGTGGCTCCATTTCCTGGCTGTCTAGAGAAATTAAAATAATAAAATTGACAGCAAAGGCTAAAAAAAATATATACAAAGAATATTTCAAATAAAAAAAATTACTATCCAAAATATAAATACCAGATATTTTTTGCTACTCATCTGATTTTTTTCCTTTTATTTTTACCCTTTTGAGATTTTTCATTCAATGCATTTTTAAATGCAACAGTTTCTGCAGAGTACTTTTTGAAACATCACAGTTAAATGAATATCTACATAAAATTGCATTAAAACCTTCAAGAGTGAAAAACATCATGTACAAAATTATAAATATGGATGCAAATTTTCCTGATGCTAGATATCAATCTTTTACTACAATAGCTATAAATGTACCCAAAAAATTTTGATTTGATATATGAAATAATTTTGATGAGTCCAATTTTGTAAATCTGATAAAAATAAATATTAAACAAAAAACTTCTCACTGCATAAAATACGAGGGCCATCCAGGAAGTAGATCACGTTTCCGTCTGTGTCCGCTAGGGGCGGGGCTAGCGTGGCCATCTTGGGGTCAGAGCGTTGCGCAGCTCAGTCTGCATCTAGCCGTGCTAGTGAGAGGTTCGTGCTGTGCTCCGTTCAGATACTGTGACGGTTTGAAATGTCTGCGTTAATTGAAAATCCCGCGAGCTGCGAGGTGCGCTCAGTAATAAGGTTTCTGACTGCAAAAAACTGTAAACCGATAGAAATCTATCGGCAGCTTCGTGAAGTGTATGGGGACAACATTATCACTGAAGGTGGAGTGCGTCAGTGGGTCATAAGATTTCAAAATGGCCGAACCAATGTTCACGACGAAGATCGAAGTGGGAGACCCAGCATAGTGACCGCCGAACTTCTCGAAAAAGTCGATGCTAAAGTCCGTGAAAATCGAAATTTCACAATAACGGAACTTTCTTTGAGTTTTCCACAAATTTCGCGAAGTTTGTTGCACGAAATCATCAGCGAAAAGCTTGGTTACCACAAGTTTTGTGCAAGATGGATTCCAAAAATCTTGACAGAGGACCACAAAAATCAGCGAATGGCTGCAGCGTTGAACTTTTTGGACGCTTACCATAAGGATGGTGACTCTTTTACTCGATCGCATCGTTACTGGTGACGAAACATGGGTGAAACATGTGAACTGTGAAACGAAATTGCAATCAATGCAGTGGGGGCACACAAGTTCTCCCCAAAAACCCAAGAAATGCATGCAAACAATGTCGGCAAGGAAGATGATGGCGACTGTTTTTTGGGACAGAAAAGGTGTAATTTTGGTGGACTTCCTGGAAAGAGGCACACTACAATAAACTCTCAAAGGTATTGCCAAACTCTCCAAAAACTCAGAAGAGCAATTCAAAACAAGCGCAGAGGAATGTTGAGCTCTAAGATCTTGTTGATTCACGACAACGCCCGGCCCCACACGGCAAATGTCACTCGTAAAGTTCTTGAATCTTTTAAGTGGGAGTTGTTTCCTCATCCGCCGTACAGTCCCGACCTGGCACCGAGCGACTTCCACCTATTCCCAGCAATGAAGAAGTGGCTGGCTATGCAGCGTTTTGATGACGACGCACAGCTGCAAGAAGAGGTAACGAAGTGGTTGAAGGCGCAGGCGGCCGAATTTTTCGACGAAGGAATTTCCAAGCTCGTACATCGCTACGATAAATGCCTTAATTTGTATGGTGACTATGTAGAAAAGTAGTATTTGAGTGTGGCTTTCATCTGTATATAATAAAATTTGTTTCCTATACTTTGTTTATTTTTTTATTCCAAAACGTAATCTACTTTCTGGATAGCCCTCGTAATTAATTAGATTATTTAACACATAAACAATAAAAAAAAAATAAACTGTTGTCCATCATTTTCATTTAGCTTCAGCACTGATTTTTTTAATTTATTTACTAATCTGTAATTTTATCAGATTCCCTTAAACAAAATTCTCTCTCAACCTTAAAAACAAATCAAACAATCATGTTTAGAATGATTTACTTCTGCTTACATTAGACTGCAATTCATCCCTTATAGAATATAACCAACAACAGCTTTACTAAGAGAATGAAATTTTAAAAGGGAATATATTCTTATTACTAAAGTTATGCATTATTCTGCATTCATTATATAATTAGAGCACCAATAAATTTTTAAGCAGGAATTTTACTCTTGTTTTATTTAACACAGCTTTTATCAAAATTTGTTGCAGAAATGGTAATATCAGAGTTTTTCTATACTAATTTTAAAACAATCTAAATGTCTAGAACATAAATAATAAACTTTTCACAATGCCAATAAAAATATATAAAAGAAATCATAAACCAAAAGAAAAACGTACTGCCAAACAAATTGAAGGCTATCTCTTGTTCAGGAAATACTGCATCTGCAAATTGTCATAAATACTGTAATTAGTTATCATATACACAGTATTTATAAAAAAGGGAGAAGGATATTAAATTTAATAACAGCTTTAAAAAAGAGAACAAGCTCTAACTTTCTTGTTTTCAGGTCACATTCTGGTTTATTATTAAGGATGGATTATGAAGGAGTAGAACAGACTTAAAAATATTTTTATTAGATTATATGTAATTAAAATTAATGAACTTTCACATTCACCTTAAACTGCATACTTTTGTAAGAAAGTAACAGGGGCTGAGATCACTTGAAAGTTATAAAACATAAAATATAAGGGAGGGAAAAAAAAAAAAAAAAAAAAAAAAAAAAAAACCATCAGAAAGACGTGGGAAGCCATTGTAGCTTCAAAACTAGAATAACAAAAGTCAAGAACTTTTAATATCAAAACTCACTTTCTCATAATTTTGTAGCTGAATATTGTACATTACAGAGTAGTTTAACTTGCATTCTAATTATTAATTCCACTAAAAATTATGATTTCCAAAGTAATAAACTGCCTTCATATTGCTTGCATTTGCCTTTCATAATATTGCATGCAATACAAAACAGAAAAAGAGATTAACTTACCATCTTCACTTTGAACTGTATCTACTTCTGAATCTTCAGTCAAATCCGAAACAGGATCAGGTGGAGAATCCCCAACATCACTAAAAAATTATAAAGTATAATTATTTTATACATATCTTGTATATAAATCTATTAAAAAACAAACTTCATTGATGTCTATTTAATTTTCAAAGTAATGATATGTTTACCACTTTCTTACAGCATTTTCTGCACTAATATGAAAAATTTTACTTATTGTGAATAGCAAAAGTAGCTACTTATCTACCCATGGCATGTCATTAAATTAATGTCATTAAAGCCATCAATATCATAATTTTTGCAACATACAATGCTTAATGAAATTTTTACCACTTTCAGTCTTCTTCATACATATTTTTCCAATATATTAAGATATATGAATATGTTTTTCCCCACCCCTAGCTAGGTTAAAATGTCCCAGTTACTAGAATAAAAGAGGTTCCCCCCCCTGCTTATGTTAACCTCTAGTACAATTAACTCCAAATTTAAGCTCATATTTTATTATCCTCCAAATGATGATTTCAGGAAAATGTAAATCTTACTAGAAATTAATGATAACAAGGCAGAAGCCTCACTCAATATATTTAAATATTGGACTATATCCTTTCACATACTGAAAACCATACAAAATTAAAAGAAACACTCAGGATAGTTTCATTTAGTTTGTGAAAGGGATTGCTCAACATCTAAATGTATCAGCAGCTGATGCATAAGTAGCAACTGATGGGACATGAATTTAAATATGCATTACTGCCTGAGTATGAAGCTATAGGAAAAGAACTATATTGTTTGCTTGTTGATGCTCATAGTTCTTTATTGGGGAGCTGAAGTCATCTTGAGACCTTTTTGATAAATTTTAGCTTCCAATTCCTTTTAACTGGAAAATTAAGTAATTTATGCTGTACTAAACAACTCTCACTTCATGATTCTTTTTTCAATAGGATAATAATCTTGTCTGATATTCAGTCTCCACTGCAAACATTATCTTACAACAGAAAGCTTTTGCAACCTGAAATGCAAAGTTGTTTAAGAAAACTATACCCAAGACTTCTTTTCAATGATGTCTGCAGACTGAGGAATAAATTGAAATAACAGAATGATTTCAATCATTTTTGCTAAAATGGTATGTTATGGTTATCCACAAACCATAATGGCTAATGCCTCCTCACTTCTTAAAGCTCAGCAGTAAGTTGCAATCTTCATATTTCTTCAAAGAAAAGGCTGCAGTATGTTGAATGAAAAAAATCATTACTTTTCGACCTCTATAAATTAAACTTCTGATGACTCAAGATTGTTTTTAGATTTATCATTTTCCTCATTCACTTTCTTTACCCTCAAAGGACTGGCTGATGCAAGTGATGGGAACTCACATACTCACATAATTCTTGTAATTATGCGAGTTACTGGATTAATTATTTGGTCATGTGCAGTGCAACATCAGATTCTAAACATAAATAATTCATACTAAAGCATATAAACTTATTTTTACATGACAGCCAATATGTCTGGCATATGATTACAACGAAAATATAATCTGCTTAGGACAGTCAGAAATTTTCTAAAATTATTTGCAAAAGAATGGTATTTTTTATGACAATCAGACTGCTTCTGTAAAGAAAAGTGTAATAGACAATTAAAACTCAACCAACTGTATTTTAAATATATATTTCCAGAAAATTTGTTACAAATGTTTTTGTAAATTAACTATAAATAAAATTATTTTATTAGCATAATTACAGTTATCTAATTAAATAATTCCTATTAATTAAATATTCTATTATATAGAAATATGACCAACATACAACAGATTTTTATTACACAAAATGAAATAATCTCAAAATTAGCACCCATCATAAGTGCCATTCTAAATAAAAACAATTTTGGTAATTGTTTTATTACAGAACAAAGCACACCATTAAAAATTAAATTTAAAAGGACACTTACTTTTCATCAGGAACATTTGTACTAATATATTTTTCATAAACAATTCCTCCATCATCTGGAAATATTTCTTCTTGATAAATAATTATGTTTTTAATAAGTTCATTCACTAAATTTTGATACTGAACTTGATCTTTATCTTCAGGTATGGGCAAAAGAGTGGGACCAAAACAAATTGCTAAGTTATAAGGATCCATCATATTTTCATCACTGAACTCAGATAAACTATATAAAAACAAAATAGGTATAACACATGAGGAAAAGGACATATTATGAGAAAAATCTTTATAAACTCTCTAAACCAAAAGAATAATTGTGCTTTAGCAGCACATTATAATGTAATTAAATTATTTTAACATCAAAATCATACCTTTCCAGTGTTTTGAAAATGCAATAGAAAATGTTAAGAACCAGTAAAAACAATTTTAACAACTGAAGCAACAAAATATTATTTTTTTAAAAAATTAGAAGTAAAAAGATTATATAATCCTGGAAAATTTAAGAAATAATTAATTAAGAATTTAAGATAAAGAAAACAGTGTCATACTATTAAATTTTAAAACTAAGAGAAGCAAACAGAATTAGTAAAATTATACTGAATTTTTTTTTACTCTGAATTTTAAAAACTGAAAAACATTACACCCCTTACACAAAGAACCAAAGGATTAATTACCCTAATGGGATTTCAGTTCTCGAAAACGTTACACAAAAGTTACAAAGTTTAAAAGTTTTTTGGAACAATAAAAAAAATTAAATTTTAGATTAAAATCACATTATGCAATCACATCATCATGCAATAAAAAATACAACGGCTAAATTAACTATAAAACTTAAACTTGCAAATTGTTCACATAACAAAGTTTGTCACTTAGGCTAAAAGTACTTAAAGCAAGGTTATCACTTTTTATTTTAATCATTTCATTAAAATGAAAATCTACCAAAGTAGAAAATGGCATCCTTGACTTTCACTTCTCAGAATTAAAATGATGTCAAGATTTCAGAAGGGATGTAAATACTTTACATAGGAATTTGAGTTTAATCTGTTGTTTATTTTTATACATTTTATTTTTGCACTCAAATAGTCAAGTGGCATGAAAAGTGCACCTTAACTGTTCGAGTTTTAACATTAAAATATGAATAATTAATTTGCATTTTTCAGTTTCTCCTTCTCAATTTTCTTAAAAGTTTTTAACAAAAATTTTTAGTAAAATTTTGCTAATTCAATTTGCTTACTACTTAGATCTAAATTTAATAGTATCACACTGTTTCCTTTATACTAAATTTCAAATTAAATGTTTCTTAAATTTTCCAGTCTAGTAAAACCTTTTTTTCTTGTAATTTAAAAAATAAAATAAATATTTTGTTGAGTTTTCAATTTTACGCAAATTTTTCATTTAGTGCTTAATTTTAACCATATATTTCTTAATCCCTTTTAGATAATTTTTCTTTACTATATTTTATACACATATATATTACAATAATTTATTACTATAAGCAGTACAAAGTCTGTAATCTGGACATCCATTATCCGGAATAATCTATAATCCGGACATCAAAGCCACAAACTTTTTTTTTGCGTGTATGCTTTACGCATGCGCGTAATGCATTTACACATGCGTGTTTAGCACAAAAAATGAAGCAACTTTAACAACTTGCATTGAAAGAAATGCTTAATAAAGTAAACAAATAAATATTAAGCTTTTTTTTTTTTTTTTTTTTTTTTTTTTTAAATTTTGATACCCTTTAGATCATAATTGCTCTTTATTTCATAAATTATGGTTTCATGTTTTTAATTGTATAATTTCTGCATACCTAAATTGATGATCTATAATCTCTTAATCCGGAATCGCCGAAGTCCTGACAAGTCCAGATTATGGACTTTGTAATGTATATATGGTTTAGACACTGATAGAATAGAAACATGTTATGCAGTTTAATAATTTAAGGAAATAAAAAATGCTATCTTATTTTAGAATTAAATATATATATGAAAAATTTTCTTATATTTATTTCATGACAAAATGATGTTTTGTAAGATTTTAAAAGGTAAAAGATTAGAATTTTGAAGTATGATAAATTTTTTTTAAATGAAACTGTAAGATCCATTAATTATGGGGTAAAAATTATTATAATACCAATGCTGTAATAATTTTACTTTTTACTTTTACACACAAAATCACAATACAAATGCTAATTTCAAGTTAATAGAAAAATGAAACTTTTCCTTTGTATGTAAATTAGCCATATTATCAATATTATTTGTAGTCAAATTTTACAGATATAATTTTTTTCTTCTATTAATATAAAGAAAAAAATAGCACTTACTGATTTAGAAATGCAAATAAATATCGTAGAACAACTACAACTGATCTAGGCAAATTGCTAACAACTTCTCTAACTCGATGGATGAATTCTTTTTTAGATTCAACTTCTATAAAGAAAGAGAAACAAACAAAAGCAATTAATAGAGCAGAAAAAATACTGTCTATATACAGTAGAAGACTAAAAATCTGCAATGGATCAGAGAGTGTAGATTTTGGGATTTCAAGACAGAAATGATAAATCACAATATTTAGATTAAAGTGCAAAATAAATAAGGACATTAAAAACATATACAAATAAAGGGCATATCAAAATATGGGATAAAATATTTCCTTATTTTTATATGTTTCAAACAATTTTCTAGTAGAAACTTAGGGGTGCTTCAAAGTAAGTTTTTAGTCCAAAGGGATTTGAATCCCAAAGGACTATTAGTTTCGTTTTGGCATTTTGCGTCGGACTCATAAATGTCGGTTCACTTTTCAAACTGTTGCCACAAAATGTTAGAGTCCTGCATTATATTTGAAGAAATTAAATAATGAAAAATCTGCATAAATGTATGTATATTTCTCGTATTGTGATAAAACAACGGTACATAGAGTCATCAAATTTTGAATAACGTAATCCTCCAACGAATATGAGCATGTGGAAGACCAAATTTGAAATTTGAAATTTGTTTTAAGATCGATTTCCTATTTTTTAAAACTTTGACGAATTTTTGATTAACAAACTCAAGGATTTCAAAGCGAGCAATGGCAACGTTGTGCAGAAAAAACATTTTTATCTCTGGCGCGTGAGTCTCTGTATCGGAAATTCTAAAGATATGCTCGTTTTAAAACTATTTTGCGATATTGCTGTTGCACTGGATCTTATGGTTTTAAGTGCGAGGAACATGATATTTAATAAAGAAAGGTAACACACAAAATGTTTAAAAACGCCCCTTTGGACGTAATTTAAAGTCTGAAACATTTCAGATTTTTTTTTTTTTAATAAATTATACAGAGTCATAATGTTTTCCTCTGTCATCACTCTGTTGTTCTAAAAAATTTAAGTACACTCAAAAGTCGTTAATTCAGACAACCCATAATCCGGAATGATCTATAATCCGGACCTCAAAGCTACAAACTTTCTGCGCATGCATCAAAGATGCATGCACGCAAAACCTTTACGGCTGCCAATATGCGTGTGCGCATCCGCAAAATACGTTTACAAATGCGCGTTTAATGTATAACGGACGGTATAAGCTAAAATTATCTAATTCAGTTAATGTTGCAGATTGCGTTGTTCCTTAATCTTCGAATTGGATTCGGCTTATTATTTTTTGCAGACTGTTAGAGCAATTTTATAAAAGTAAGCTTGAACTTTCGATTATGTCAAATAGAGTTTCTGATATATATTTACTAATATGTAAAGGATCTAGAAAGCGAAAGTATGTTTCGAAGTCCATTAAAAAAAAAGTGGAATTGCTGCAAAAAATAGATAAGGGCATATCCTTTGTTATCTAAACTTTGTTTAGCTTTAACGCTGCGGCGCGGCGCGCAATGAATTGGAAGTTGATCTGTCAGCACTATCCTTATCTTCAGGGCAAATGTTTTTATTTTATTTGGCTTATAATTCCTTACTAAATGTAGTATTTCATTTTAATGTACTCCGTCTTTGATATGATTTAAATCAAATTCCTCGTCATTATAATTCGCTTCCGATAGTGAAGAAAGTGACACAGAGGTTTTTGAAAAAGAAAAAATTTCGATTGACAAATTAGTCGGTATTCTCGACACAGCAATTATAGGACTTGAACGGCGGAACTTTGTAACTGAACAAGAAATTATGTCTGTTTATAGAATTAAAGAGAATGTATTATCACATAAAAAAACGAAGCAACTTAAACAACTTACATTGAAAGAAATGTTTAATAAATAAGTATTAAGCTTTTTTTTTTTTTTTTTTTTTTTTTTTGTAAATTTTGATACCCTTTAGATCATAATTGTCCTTTATTTTATAAATTACGGTTTCATATTTTTAATTTTATAATTTCTGCATGCCATCTTACCAGATTTAAACTGATGGATCTATAATCCGGAATCGCCGAAGTCCCGACGAGTCCGGATTAACGACTTTCGACTGTATTAGGTTAATTACATTCATTACTGAAATTCCAGTTTTTTTAAGAGAAAAGAATACAGGAAGACACATCATGAGAGTTATTACATTTAGCACTTTTATCTAATATGAAGTTTTAATAAACTGCTTCTAAAACCAAAACTTATTTCTGGAAGTCCGGATTAACGACTTTTGACTGAATTTTTCATCATGTTCCAAACCTTCATTAAAAGATGCTTTCTCCCTCCTATCCAATTCACTATCTGTGTTTGTGTCAGAATTATTTGCTTGCTGTGTCGAGTTCAAAACAGATAATTTCATCATCTGTCATATAATTTTGATAATAATTTCCTCATCAGCCATCTGATATGTCAATATTGGCTCATCTGGACACATCATCCATTCAACAATTTCTTCTCCTTGCCTCCACATTTATTCTTCCTTTTGAATACAGAAGCAATTTTCTTGTTTTAACCTTTGCTGCAATGACCCTAAACCGAAAAATTCACCATTGTTGCTCTCAGTTTCAATAAACAGAGAAGATAGCCATATATTATGACAGCCATTAACTAATCTTATTTGTTAAACAGAATTCCATGAATCTGATAACAAATAGATGCAGTCTTTGATGCGAAATTTTTTTTATAATCACAAAGTGAAACAGAATGGTCTCTTAAAAGAATTTTTACAAACTCTGAGGTATAATGGCATTTAATACTGTGCATTATGGCCTGGTTCATTGGTTGGATTAATGATTTAGTATTTGGGGGGGAAAGGGAGCCATGACATTATCACACATTAAAATGGTTGTAGAAGCACTGAGGAGTAGCACCTCCCTTCATCTTTTGCATTACCGTCAATGCAATGTGTTTACGTTTTTCAATGTTGTAAGCAATAAAAATCATGCATTTTTTACCTGCCATAGTATTAAGAAGTACTGAAATTAAAAATATTTTTATCTACCCGCCCCCTCCCCCCCCCCAAAAAAAAAAAAAACAATCTCAAGAAATAACAAAGCTCAGAAAACACAACCATGTAAGTCATAAACTTGAAAGAGAAGTTGAGTGCACTCATCTGCTTCTTAACCTTCTTACATAGAAAAAAAAAAAGTCACTGATTTGATAAGTATTTTTATTATCATGCCATTATTTCGTAAATATTTCTTTTTTCTTCAGTATTTCTTCTCCATGTTGTGGTTTCTGAACATATACACTGAATATTTACATTTTGAGAGGTACAGATTTCAAGTCAGCGGATTTTTAGTATTTGACTGTATTAAATAATTAGCTTTCCAAATCCCAGTATCACTAATTTAAGAAATATGAAAATTTTTTAGACTATTTTTAAAAATGGTCATCATACTATCTGATAACTATTTTTAAAAATAATCACCATAATATGTGAATTTACACTCATTACTAAAAATCACTACCTTTTACACCAACATGTCTACTATTCATGTTTATAAGAGGAAACTAGAAATACAGTGTAAATATTTTAATTAACAATTGTTATATGATGATTTTTATTTAAAAGCACAGAAGTATTTATTTAAATGGCATTTCTACAAAACATACGTAAACTGATACATTAAGAACAATAGACAAGAAGATGCACTAAAATACTATTACAATTATTCACTTACGAGAAATTTCAACCAACTGGTCAAAATAAAATATTGGGAAAAGTGGTTCCCGCAGCTCTCTTAAATACAGTTTCAGAACACCTCCAACAGAATTTATGTCACTAGCATCTGAAACATCTGCCAATGGATCTTCACCTAGAAAAATACAAGACAATTAATTAGAAAGAATATAAGTATCGGTAAAATTCGAGATGCTCAAATTATAAACAAAAATAACTGCCAATTTTTTTGCTCGTTATACAAAGGTTGGTTTAGAATAATGAAAAAAATTTCACTTATTATTTCCACATTAAAAAAAAATCTGATGTGTACACCACATGACTTCCTTGTACGGAATATTAAATTATACGCATTTTTTCTTGCATTTTATTTAAACTTATTAGATTGAATTAAACCTACTTCGCCGACAGCGCATAAACCACAACAGAATAAATGCATTCTTTAAAATTCACTTTGCTTACCATAGCGACATTCTGGCGCTAGGTTTACTTAATAGTATTATATTTCATTCATATTATAACTCAGAATGCACAAAATGTATATCATTTAAAGAATTATCTAATCGTTGCCACTTGTTCTATTCAAATACTATAATAAAGCTAGAACTATGCATAAAAGAAATTAAGCAAACAAAACAAAAAAGAAACAGTTTTCACAGACGATTGAGTATTTCTCATTTAATTAATTCAGTTCTCACTTCGCGAGAAAGCAAAAATACATAAAAACTCAAAATATCTATAATAAAAATTACGAAGTAAATCTCAAATGCTTATTTCCTCGAAAAAAATTCCAGAAAGAATTAAGCATGATTTAATTGGCAATAATAAATGAATGCTTGATCTTTGTTGTTGTGAAGCTAAGTTTCTCTAGATTGGCAACAAATCCACTAGTCTCCTGTTTCAAATGTAAACATTAATGGCCGCCATTAAAAACAGGCTTAAAATATTGATAATAAACACATTAAAATGCATTTTGTACAATATATTTAATATTTTTAAATTTTAGGAACAAAAGAAAATATTTTCTTGGATATTATTTTAAGATTAAATTTTGATACTAAATAAAATATTAAAATTGGCACTTGATTCAAAAACATTTATATATGATTAAAATTTAAAAAAGTTATTTTTCATGAAATTTTGAAAAACATATTGTTCCATTCTTTTGTAAGCCTAGAGGCCCTTCACATGTTTCACACATCCAAAATGTTCTTCGTTCTTTTTTCGATGTGCTGCAATATGCACATCTTCTCCTGCTCGTTCTCTGAGGCGTGCGACTTATATTTTTTAGTCTCTTTTCTGGTTGTACGAACGGTTTTTTAGTTTTTATTTGAACAAGAACGGTTTTTTAGTTTCCTTTTCAGCTCTTTCTTGCCTCCATGTGCCATTAGACCTTCTATAACTGAGAGACAAAAATCTTTCATTGTTTTTACATCATGATCGGGTTCGCAAACAAACTTAAATAGAATAAATGTGTTTACTATACTCGCATCTAAAAAGTAAAAAAATATCCTGTGCCACCATTTCTTGCTTTTGCGGTCTATTTCATATAGTAATTTCAGTTGATCAAATAAGTCGACATATCCCATATTCTTATTATATGAAATAATGCTGTTTGGGCACAGTACTTTTTTTTTTTTTTTCCATCTCGTTCTTTTCTATTAATTTCTTTCATTTCAGTTGCCTTTTCCAAGCAAGACAGGATAGAAACGGATCTTTTATCCTTCCATTTTATGCAATAAATTGAATCATCGCTAACTGAAAAGTCTATATCTCCTCTCGACATAAATTTGTCTTCTTTTAAATTTTTGGGTAGATACTTCCGATTCATATTTACAGTGCCACATGCATAGATGTTCTGTGTCTTTAAAAAGCGAAACAAATTATAACTACTTCCCTTTCTTCTTCAGCAATAACTTCAACCTCAGTTATTCTCTCCTGGATTTCAATTTCATCTGAATCAGAACTGACATCTGAAGCATTTGAGTCGCAATCAGATGGCAATTCAGCAAAAAGATCCAAAGCTTCCTGAGTTGTTAATTTTTTTTCTAGACATTTTAGCACATCAGAGCATACAACGGATGTAAAAGCGCGCGCAATCACGAAAAAAAGTAGATGCAAAAAAGAAAAGAAAAATAATCGTGAGTGCTGCCATCTATTGAGCGGAAATTCAAGTGTGTGGTGGGACAAATTTTAACCCACTTATTTCAACTGCAAAATTAATGTTATAAAATATTGAATCCAATTAAGATTTTTGAAAATAAATACCTTTGAATATTAAAAAGAATCATACATATCCATAAATTGTATACCAAAATTTTTAAATATTGAAAAATGCGAGATACCTGGATATCACTCTTGTGATCTTATTTTGAATATTTTTTGCTTATAAACTTAAGCCCTGGCATAGAAGTGACATCTACTGAGAAAAATAATAACTAAAATCGATTACTTTTAAAAGATTAGAAAATTTTCAATGGAAATTGCTAACTGAGAAAATAAATATTAATTAGGTGGGACACATATTGACCCACCATGCCGCAAAGGGTTAAACTATTTTTCAACAGTTTGCGCCAATAATCAAACACTTGTCATAGCGGGTGGCCAGTTTTTGTATACCATCGTCAAAGAAACTTCCCGCCAGTTTCGATAACCATGACTCCACAGCATTTTTCGTGTCATCGTCAGATCGAAAGCGCTTGCCACCAAGCTCGTGCTTCATGTGCAGGAACAAGTGATAGTCGGACGGCGCCAAGTCCGGGCTGTAAGGCGGGTGATCGAACTGCTCCGAATGAAACTGTCGAATTAACGATTGAGTGACACCAGTGGTGTGGGGCTGAGCATTGTCATGGAGCAACACAATTCCTTTACTAAGCATTCCTCTTCGTTTGTTTTGAATGGCACACCTTAGTTTTTTTAAAGTCTCACAATATCGTGCCGCATTAATGGTTTCACCTCTGGGAAGAAATTCAGTAAGCAAAACGCCTTTCCTATCCCAGAAGACAATGCACATGATTTTTTGTGATGACATTGTCACTTTGAATTTTTGTTTTTTCGGAGAATGAGTGTGTCTCCCCTCCATCGATTGTTGTTTCGATTTCGGTGTGAAATGACACACCCAAGTTTCATCACCTGTCACAATTTGGTTTAAAAAGTTTTCTTCCTCATCACTGTACTGCGTGAGAAATGTCAGGGCACTACCAAGTCGTTTTGTTTTGTGAACATCAGTGAGCATTTTTGGAACCCATCGGGAGCACAGTTTGCGATAATTCAAGCGGTCAGACACAATTTCGAACAAAACGTGAAATTTGTGGAAATGCCTCTGAAAGAGTTGTCATTGTGAAGTGTCTGTTCTCATGAATTGCTTCATCAACTTTCCTTACCAAATCATCGGTAAAAACAGAAGGCCGACCACTCTGAGCCTCGGCATGGACATTTGTTCGACCTGCATTAAACATTCTTACCCACTTTCTCACCATTCCATCACTTATCGCGTATTCACCGTAAACTTCTGTCACTTGATGATAAATTTCGGTCGGTTTAACATTCCTCACGTTCAAAAATTTAATCATGGCACGAATCTCACAGTCAGCGGGAGAACTAATTGTCTTAAACATTTTGAATGTGCACAGCAAACTGAAAACACAACATAGAGCAACCAAAATGGCGACAATTGAAAGTCAGTGAACAAGAAAGACTAGTGCGCATGCGCGGGACGCCTACCACAGTGCTGCGACGGCTCTAGAATGAAACGGTACTTAGTTTCCGAATACGCTACGTACATACACATTTATTCAGCGGTTTAAAAAATAAATGTGAAAAATTGAATAAAATTCTTTATATTAATGAACTAATAAGTCTTCAATAGGTAAATAAAAAGCTGACCACATTTCCTCCTGAAACTTTTGAAATTCACCCAGAGAGAAGTCCTGTACTAGACTTTATACTGTTACTGTAAACTATTTTCACACACATTTGTCACACAAAAAATACGAGTAAAACGCTGTGCAGTTTTAACCCCAAGAGAATATTTTATTAATAATATAAGAAATTTTTATTAAAAAATGAATGATTGCAATATTGTTAAAAAATATAAAGCTGAATAAATTCCTGTAAATGTCCCCCCCCCCAAAAAAAGATTTATTTAAACAGAGAAACAGAATTAAAAAACAGTACAATTATGAGAGACCTCAAAACAGAATTCCATGATTGGTAATGGAAATATTCTCAAATATTAAATCTCAAGTATTAAATTTAAAAAGAATATTAATGGTACCTCTTTCAAATGTTTCTCGAAAGTTATTTATTTCAACTTGTGAACCAGATACCCTAAATATACCTTGATGATGAAGTCCTGAAATAAATTAAAAGGAAAAAAATAAATATATAAAACATTTATACTCTTAATATAATGCTATTGTTAAACATGACAATTTTCAAATTTTTAAACATATATACTGTATTTATCCAAATATAAAGGTTTTCCCCCCAAATTTTTAAAACCTGACTCATCTTAAATTAGCATATTAACAAAAAGTACAAAATTGTTTACAACTTTCATTCAAGTGTACACTGTTTTTCAAAAGTAACATAAAATAGAAAATGCACACTTCACTTTATACCTAAAACCATAGAAAATAAGACACTACAGTCAAAAGTCCATAATCCGGACCTCAAAGCTACAAACTTTCTGCGCATGCGTATATGCGTTTAAGCAAGTGCATAATACCTTTACGCATGCGCATATGCATTTACGCATGCGCATTTAATGTACAACGGACGGTATAAGCTAAGCTAAAATTATCTACTTATCTATTTCGGTTAATGTTGCAGATTGCGTTGTTCCTTAATCTTCTAATTGGATCCGGCTTATTATTTTTTGCAGACTGTTAGACCAATTTTATAAAAGTAAGCTTGAACTTTCAATTATGTCAAAAAGAATTTCCGATTCTGGAGCTGCCAAAGGATCTACAGAGCGAAAGCATGTTTTGATGTCCATCAAACAAAACGTGGAATTGCTGCAAAAAATGGATAAAGGCATATCCTTTGTTTCTGTAACCATTCCGAAATCTGTTTATCAATTTCACGCTGCTCTGCGTGAAGGGGCGGGGGTGAAACGTTGCGGCGCGCAATGAACTGGAAGTTGATCTGTCAGCACTATCCTTATCTTCAGGGCAGATGTTTTTATTTTATTCGGCTTATAATTCCTTACTAAATGTAGTAGTTCATCTCGATGTACTCCGTCTTTGATATGATTTAAATCAAATTCCTTGTCATTATAAATATCCCGAATACACATCAAATAATTTTCTAATTTCGACTATGCGTAATGTATGCTTTATGCATGCGCGCGTTGAAAGAAATGTTTAATAAAGTAAACAAATAAATATTATGCTTTTTTTTGTAAATTTTGATACCCTTTAGATCATAATTGCTCTTTATTTCATAAATTACGGTTTCATATTTTTAATTTTATAATTTCTGCATGCCATCTTACCAGATTTAAACTGATGATCTATAATCTGGAAAAACTGATAATGCGGAATCGCCGAAGTCCCGACCAGTCCGGATTAAAGACTTTTGACTGTATTTGTTCATGTGCATTCAAGAAGAAAATATCTTAAAAATTAAATCCATCACATATCTATGAAAAAACATGGGCCATCTTAAATTCGATATCATTCTGTCGGGTTAATTAGAAAGTAATTTTGTTGTTTCATGAAAAATATATATATATATTTTATTGGATTATATATTGATCATTTTGGTCAAATACCTTTTGTCATCTTTCTGGCCATAGCATGATTCCACGTTCATAAATGTTCTGATTTTTGCTTATAAAATACTGATCTAAGTGATTTTTGATATCCTCATTTGAAATAAATGTTTCACCATTTAAAAAGTCTATAAAAAATAACAGATAATAATCTGAGGTTGCTAGAGCTAGTGAATATGGTGAGTGCTTTAGCACATCCCAGGATGGAATTTATCCATTTGACAGCAGGACACTTTGTATCAACTGTGGAATTGTACGGTAGAAGCTTAAAAAAAATCCCAAAAATCTCACGATATTTTTGGGGAGGGGATAAATATAAGTTTTTGAAGCGGTTCGATCCACCACATCTCTGCCTAAATTTTATATTATCGTAAACAATCTATTTCTCATGCCTAGTTATGATTGACTTCAAGCATGGATCATTTTCTTGCTATTTGATAAACATATCCCAGATATCACAGAACAAATCTCTTTAGAAACACGTGGAACCAATACACTGACCATTACGATCACAGATAGTTGAAATCAACAATTTAATCTCTTAATGATTTCTCATGTTGTTAATTCCCCAGTTTGCTTCTATCAGTATCTTTGTCTTCCTCAGTTCCAACTGGCCTTCTAGAATGTTGTGCAACTTCAGTATCAAAATTGCAGGAATGAAATTTTGTGGACCCATTATGACCTGTGAATAACGTCAACAGATTTTGTCCATAAAGTTGCACAATTTCTTTCTTTGCTCGAACATCACTCTTACTTTTTTGAGTAATTTAAATAAATAAATAATAATAATAAAATGCTGCTTTTGTTTTTTCGATATTTAATAAGCCCCCCCCCCCCCAAAGGAAAACTGCTCAGAATCAAGCAAATTTTTTACATGTGAGCCTTGAAATGCCAGCTGTCAAAATATATAATGACAGCATGATTTAGAATGAAGTTGGCTGGTGAAAAATACATTTAATCCCTCTGGTGGTTCAGAAGGGTGAAAAAATAATTTAAACAACCCAATACATTTGGATAAATACTGTATACAGTCAAAAGTCGTTAATTCGGACACCCATAATCCGGACCTCAAAGCTAAAAACTTTCTGCGCATGCGCCGCGTTGGCACATGCGCATAGGCGTTTACACGTGGGCGTAAGACCTTTACGACTGCACAGATGCGTGTGAGCAAGTGCAGGATCGTTTAATGTATAACGGACGGTATAAGCTAAAACTATCTATTTCAGTTAATGTTGATGATTGCGTTGTTCCTTAATCTTCGAATTGGATGCGGCTTATTATTTTTTGCAGACTGTAAGAGCAATGTTATAAAAGTAAACTTGAACTTTCGATTATGTCAAATAGAATTTCCGATGCTGGAGCTCCCAAAGGATCTACAAAACGAAAGTATGTTTCGATGTCCATCAAACAAAAAGTGGAATTGCTGCAAAAAATGGATAAAGACATGAAGAAGGTGACAGAGAGGTTAGTGAAAATGAAAAAATTTGATTGACAAGTTAGTCGGTATTCTCGGCACAGCAATTGCGGGACTTGAACAGCGGAACTTTGTAACTGAACAAGAAATTATGTCTGTTTATAGAATTAAAGAGAAAGTTTTATTACATAAAACGAAGCAACTTAAATAACTTACATTGAAAGAAATGTTTAATAAAGTAAACAAATAAATATTAAGCTTTTTTTTTTGTAAATTTTGATACCCTTTAGATCATAATTGTTCTTTATTTCATAAATTACGGTTTCATGTTTTTAATTTTAGAATTTCTGCATGCCATCTTACGAGATTTAAACTGATGATCTATAATCCGGAAAAATCGATAATCCGGAATCGCCGAAGTCCCGACGAGTCCGGATTAACGACTTTCGACTGTATTAGGTTAATTACATTCATTACTGAAATATTAAGCTTTTTTTTTGTAAATTTTGATACCCTTTAGATCATAATTGTTCTTTATTTCATAAATTACGGTTTCATGTTTTTAATTTTAGAATTTCTGCATGCCATCTTACGAGATTTAAACTGATGATCTATAATTCGGAAAAATCGATAATCCGGAATCGCCGAAGTCCCGACGAGACCGGATTACCGACTTTCGACTGTATTAGGTTAATTACATTCATTACTGAAATTCCAGTTTTTTTAAGAGAAAAGAATACAGGAAGACACATCATGAGAGTTATTATATTTAGCACTTTTATCTAATATGAAGTTTTAATAAACTGCTTCTAAAACCAAAACTTATTTGTGGCTAAAAACTGCAAAACTGCTCTTTACACATTTTAATGTGCTGTCTTTATTGTTGACATTTTTAAGCATCACAATTATGTTCTTAAACCTGTCTCTCTTGATATGTTTTCATCTTTTATGGGATTTAAAAAATTCACACACACTAAAGGAAACAAACTTTTTTTTTACTCATGATTGTTAATTCATTAGTTATTACAGAACATCTACTCTTAGTGCCTATGAAAGAATGATTGTTGGAAGTTATTATTTCGCTTTACAAAATAGCAATAAGGAACTGCGCTATAAAAATCATGTTGAAAAATATCAGAAATACTGATCAGAAATATTTATCAGTAATAAAATATACATAAATTTTATACAAAATAAAACTCTTTAAAAAAAATTTAAGCTTAAAACATGGATCTGATTTTCACAGTTTTTCTCTCACTGTAACCAATTTCTTGAGCCAAATACTTATCTAGCAAGTTTTGAAGATTAAGTAACCTATCCTAATCAACATCCCATTTAAATATTTTTTTAATAACAGCTGCGAAGTCTAAAAATTATTAAATTACAAATGCTTATAATTCGTAACTTATTCACTTATAAAATTAACAATACATAGGATAAAGTCTTAACATCTTAGTTTTAAAGGCTTTTTACTTGCCTTTTCAGTATTATTTTAGTATTATTTATATATTTTTTATTAATAGTATCTAGTTTCCTTTTGATTTATTTGCATAATTTGTGTCAGGGAAGTTTTTTTGTAGGCAAGAATTTCTAAATTACTTTGGTTTTCTGCTCTTAATCGACTTTAATTATTCTAGTCTTTACATGCTAATTTCTCTAAATTCCACTTATTTAAACTTCTTTTTGGTAATTCACAACATTTGGTTTTACTTTTGGTTTTGAATTTTCCTTTTACCCTTGCCTACATGGATGACGAAATATGAATTGAATAATTGAAAAGTTAGGTTTGAAGGCAACTTCTTCCTCTTGATAAATCTGTCTCCTGCCTGCTCAAAAATTATTCACTTATGCATTTTTATAAATTTTTAGGATTAAAAAATTTATTAGAATTATACATTATACATTTATTATATATTCATAGATTTCAATACTTGCACTTGATTTACATACGCTCTCAGAATTTAAATGATGTTGTAGATTGCAGCAATAATTAATCATTTATTTGTAATTCAATTTCATTTAAAATTTAATTAACTTTAAATTTGCTTTTTACGAATAGAGAATGTTTGTTAAATTCATAAAGTCTTAAGAAATTTTAATTACTTACCATATAAATTTATAACCCGAATACAGCTTCTTATGATTAAAGGAATTTCTTGATTAGTAGCCTGGATAATGAAAATTAACAAATTAACCACAAAGTATTTGATAAACTTAATTTGCTTTTTATAGAATAAGAACAGAATGCTGTTTAGAATGTTAAGAACACAATGTTATTATAATATAAAATTACTATCCAGCACTTGATACTTGTAGCTGTTGTCACTCTGATAATAAAAGACTGTAGAGACTTGAAATAAAAGATTAATTGCAGCAAATATAATCACATATTTAACTTTTTTAAAGTATGTTGTTATTTATACAAAATTTTTTAAAAACAAAAATATCCTGATATTATTTCCATGCAATAATGCTGCTGAAAAATTAGTTAATTATAGATTAAAAAGAAAAAAATTTGGAACCTAATTAAAAAAAGACATAAAAGCAATAAAATCAAAACCAGCAAAATCCCAAAATTTCCCAATAAAAAACATCAACTAATTGTTTTCAAACTAGAAGAATTTCCAAAAACAATAGAAATACATAAAAATACTAAAAAGAAGAAGAGGAATTCAATCAAAATCTGATCCAATGTTAAGTCCAATCCAGTCCTTCCTAATGCCTTTAAAATTCTACAATCTTAATTCAGTTATTTTTGCCGATAGATGGCGTTACCTCCTCGCGTTTGGTACTACCAGAGGGTATAAAAATCCGTTCAGGTTGCTTTCCATTATTCGAAGTTCAGATTTTGAGCGTGAAGGTGCAGTTGCCCCTCGCTCCCTACTTTTTAACTTCGCTAATTTTTCTTGTCCTTTGTGTTATATGTTTGATAAGATAGCCTGGCTCAGTAAAAGTAGGCGGCCAGTGTAACTCTGATTAAAAATCCGGTTATAACCACGTGCAGTGCTGATAAGGACCACGTGTTTCTGAGACTCCTTCCCCATTTATTTTTCTTCTTTCTAGGTATTTCTTTCTCCTGATGAGGAGGGACCTTTAGCTGCCCTCGAAATCGATTGAGTGTTTCAATATACTTACGCTAAACACAAGGTTGTTTTTACGATTTTAAATTCACTGCATACCACATTGTATTGGCATCCACAATTAGTGTATGTGCAAAATTTGAGCTTGGCAGGTTATCAGGAATTTGTTTAAAATTGGATAGCAAAATTTGACCATAGTGTAAAACATCAGCTAGTTAAAAGAAAGCTTATAAAACTATGGCCAGTTTTTGAAAAAAATCTAGAAAACTGTCTTAAGAAACTAGAAAACTTTTAAATCATTTTTACTTCAAAAGAGGGTGAAAAGTTTGCTTTATGATCTTTGAAAATTTCAAATTTTTGTGAGAGATGCAGAATTTCCAAGCTCCATTAAAGAATATAACATTAAGTACCAAAGTAAAATCAAAATTAAAAATGATATCGTAGATTTTGAGATTAATGAGAAGTTTGAGAAAAACTCTTGTTTTTGAGATTAATGAGAAGTCAAAAAAGCAAGAAAAATAGTAATGCAATAAAATCATAACCTCGAAATTGAAGAAGTGATACTTTGTCCTTCTGTTACATACTGTGGTATAGTTTTTAAATTATAGAAAATTGACCAATTAATATTTTTCTATTATTCTTGTTTTAAAAGAGGGTGAAGAGTTTGTTTTATAAGCAGTGAAAACTTCAAAATTTTGTAAGCGATACATTTTTTAGACACTGAAGTTTTAAAATCATAAGTGCCAAATAGTTGAAAAAAAGGGAGCAAACTTTAAAATTTGCCAAAAATTCAGAAATGTATTAAAAATTTTATAAAAATTCCATTTTAAAGATATTTTCTGTTCTTTATGGTAATGCAATCAGCAAAATTTTGTGGATTTTTAATTTTTTTGTTAAATGAAAAAATTTGTTTATTATAACAAATAAGATATTTATTTGAATTTGTTGAATTCATGCAAAAAATCATTTAAACATTAAATTAAAAAAAATCTAAATTAAATTTAGATAAAAACACTCCAACACACTGCATTATAGTGTGCATACAAAATTTGAATTTGATAGCTTATCAGGAAGTAGATTAAAATCAATAACAAACTTTTGATAATAAGGCAAACACCATCAGTGAACTATATAAAAGGAGATAAACTTACAGCAATCCAGGAATAACCAACTTGGATAAAATGAGAAATGTGAATGTTACAAAGAAACTGCACAAAAAAATTATGAAAGAAAGTTACATGAAAATAGGTAAACTAAAACATTTTAAATATTTCTTATGCATTTAAGATGTCTCATAAAACTTAAGTTCTTTCTGGTTGCAAGCCTTCACTTTCTTAATATAATCATGTCTTTATAAGGCAAACAGCAAGATGCACAAACCTGAAACTGTTTAGTATTGCCCTCCCACAGTAAGTTCACAGATCATCAACAAGTACTGAAACATAGCATGAACCAGATAACACCACTATGCAGTGATGCTATAGCACTATATAGTACTTTATCAAAGTTTTATTACCTTCTGAGAATTAAATGCAGGAAGCTCTTGTTTTTTAAGCGTGAGACACAGAAAGTACTTTAAAATAATAAAAGTTTATGATATAAAAATACTTTAAATGGAGCTAGTAATGACTACAACTTGTTTAATGCTGGTATGTAATTTACTATTGTTGTTTAATTTTGGTACATAATTTATATTTTATTATTTTTTTTTTTTTATTTATTTTCATTAAAGCTACATGATTACAATGCTATACAGAGCACTATCCACAAATTTCATGTAATCTAATAGTCTCTGAACATATTATTCAGAATATGGGGTATCTGTTATACACATCCATGAAAAATACTGCAAAGTTTTTCAAATATAATTATTAATTCACTCACTTCTAAATACTCCTCTAAACTTCCCCCAAATAGCTTAGGTTGCCCAACAAGAGGAGTGCGACCTATACGTTTCTTCCGAAGCCTCTGAGGTAAGTTATGGGGACGAACAGCAATATGCGGTGATGCTCCACCAGGCACAATTGATTGATCTTCTCCTTCAATACCAAGGCCACGACGAATCAAATCTGATTTTGCTTGAAGTCGAGCAATCAAGTTATTTGTCATGATATATTCGGAGAATTTCTACAAAGATTAAAAAGTAAGATATGCTTTAATTTCAAAAATTAGGTAGCAGAATATAACTATATAATGCAAGTATATAATTGAATATAATGATATCATAGAACTCCTGTACAATACCCCAGACACCAAATACTCAAATTGCATTGTTTTTCATTTTATGATCAGTATCAAATTATGTTCACTATCAATTTTTTTAATAATACCTTTATGAGTTCTGACAAAATCAAAACCAGCATAAATACACTTTGTTACCAGTTAGTGATGTTCACCATGTGCCACTCAATACTGATTAATTCAAGTCATTTAATAAATCATTTTGTCTGGACCTATTAACATTTTGCAACAACTTATTTTACATCATTAATGTCATAAATAAAACTAGGTTTCTGAAACTTTATATTTTTTATTATAAAATATCTTATTTTTTACGAAGGCTTGTGATCTCCATTAAAAATATAACAAAATAGTTATAGAGTTTTGCAATAACAAATTATAAATCACTTTTTAAAATTTTGTTCAAATGATAACAGTACAAAGTCTAAAATCTGATGTCATATGTCTGAAATGATCTAATATTCAGATCTCTGGTTCATCAGCAAATTTTTCTTATATGAATTTTGTCTCTTTATGAAGTCTAGAAATGCATGGTATAATAATAAAAAAAATGCAGCTGTGCCTTAAAAGTTATTATGCCACTTTCAAACACCAGCTGGGAAGGGAATGGCATGGTAGCCAATGACAACATATTGACTGATGTTAGCCATGAACATGTGTCTGGTCCTTGAGTGACTTATGTGGGAGGGTTGTTGCTTATACTGGGTTTCTTTTGTTTGCAGAGCAACAACAACAACAACAACAACAACAACAACAACAAAAAAAAAAAAAAAAAAAAAAAAAAAGAGAAAGAATTGGATTCCACAGCAGTTAACATTGCCAACTGCCCTATTCCTTAACTTTCTTAATTTCATCCCACATATTAATTTTTGCAGACTTATTATTACAGCTTGCGTTTTTGATTATGTATAAAGAGTTTCTAATCTAATTCTGGAGCTGTAGCAGGGTCTGCAAAACGAAAACGTATTTGGTATTTGCTTTGTATGGTGGTCTTGGCTAAAGAAAAACTGCAGTTCAGTTCTAAGAAAGTGTGATTCAAAATTAGGCAAAATTACAGCCTGATTTTGGCACATATTTTTAATGCTATACAAGGTGAAACTTTCAAATTAATAGAATTTCTAAAGAAATGTGAAGAACTGATGAATGAAGATGATATAACAATATTTTCATTAGGATGACCATGATCCAATCAGCTAATCAACTAACGAATTGAGAAATGCCTAGCATGGTTTTAAACCTAGAAAATATCACTACTGATAGTGAAGAAAAAGATTTTCAGAATGAAAAGATTTCAATTCACAGTTTAGTGGGAATTCTTGACATGGCAACTGCAGAACATGGAACAACGAAATTTTGAAACAGAACAAGAAATTATGTCTATTATAAAATTAAAGAGAATTTACCAGCATAAAAAAAAACAAAACATCTCATATTGAAACAAATGCTTAGTAAAATAAAAAAAATATTCAATTTGTTTTTTTGTAAATTTTGTTTTCCTTAACACTTTGTGGGCTGCTGTCATGCTGGCGTGACTTTTGCTCGCCAGCGGTTATAAGCCGCTGTCACGCTGGCATGACTTTTGCTCAGCAACAGTTATCGGCCGTTGTCACGGACACGTGACTTATTTTCGCCAACGCCGATGCTTCACATCGACATTTGTATAGATAGACATACTATAGCAAAACATTTGACGATCAGGAAACTTTGGTTTCAACTGCTTTCCTCTCCCAATTCACCAGACTGTCTATTATTGAATTGTCTATTATTGTCTATTATTAGACTGTCTTTTTTTGTGGACGCTTGTTTAGTTAGTTTGAGACTGTCTTTCGCTGCCTTCAAATATCGGAAACTTACATTAGATTTAAAGATATCCTTCAAAATGCTCTTCGATGAGGAAATATATGTTGATCTGTTATCAGAAGAGGATAATTGCTCTGATAGTGAAAGTGATTCAGACAGTGGAAGCGATATAATTGTGAGACAATTCAAAAATAAGGGAAGACCAACAATTAGTGAATCTGAAAGTGATGAAGAAAAATTCTGTGGCAAATGATTGGTCAGAAGTTGCTTTTAAACCTAACTTTCATGCTTGCCTGGAATGGTTTGGGTTACAGGTACCATATACACCAAATATATTATCAACTGTGGAATTGTGATAATGTATGACGATTATGTGATGATTTATTTAATTTGTTTGCCACACAAACAAACTTATATCATAATCAGCAGAATAATGATAACAAACAATTGAATCAAAAAGAATAAAGCCTTGGATTGATACAACATGTTGTAGAAATGAAAAAACTTTTGGGGTTTGTTATCCTAATGGGAATAGTAAGAAAACCAGAACAAGACGATTATTGATCTACTCACACTGGATTACATACACCTATTTTTGGCAATACTATGCCAGGGAACCGATTTCGGCAGTTATGGAAGTATTGGCACTTCAGTAATAATAAGCATTGCCAAGAAAGGCTTGATAAAATAAAACCAGTTTACTTGTGCCTGGTAGAAAAGTTTCAAAAAATTTATAAACCCGAGAAAGAATTATCGCTGGATGAAGGTATCATTTAATGGAAGGGCAGGCTATCTTTTCATACATATAATCCTGCGAAAATTGTAAAATATAGAATTTTAGTCCATATGGTGTGTGAAGCGACATCTGGTTATATATGCAATTTAGAAATACACTCATGTCCATAAATTAAGAATAATTTGGAGTCATGAGGAAAACGAACTCTAAAATAAATATATCACCTGTAAAAATCACTACACACATCTTCAAGAATCATATGCAAATTTCAGGAAGTAAACAGATGACACCGACGGTACGTCACAATGACGAGAGTGTAAGAGAGTGATATATAAGGAATACAGGCAAACAAGTAAAACTGTTCGCAGGCGCTTTATAAGCATTTCAGTGCAGTAATCTAATAGTTATGACACAAAGGACGCATTTGGATGATTTTTTACGTGGTAGAATTATCGGCCGTCTGGAATGTGGGTGTACCCAACTGGAAGTATCAGACGAACTTGGAATTGCCCAGCGTGTCATTTCCAGGCTTTGGCAACGATTCCAAGATGATGGTAATGTGAGTAGACATTACAGCACAGGTCGCCCCAGAGTTACAACGCCGAATGAGGACCGGTATAAGAAACAGGAGGAGCACAGCCTCAGACCTGTTTCGTCAGCTCTCTTCAGCCACTGGTACGACAATTTCAAGGCAGACCGTGTACAGACGCTTAGGGCAGATTGGTCTATATGCTTTTAGACCTGTCAGATGTGTTCCACTTACTGCAACTCACTGTCACCTGTGGTTAGCCTGGAGTAGAGAGCATGCATCGTGGACACTGCAACAATATGCTTGTGTGATGTTTTCCGAAGTGTCCAGGTTTAGCTTGCAGTCTGATTCTCGCTAGACTTTCATATGGAGAGCTCCAGGTACCCGTTACCACCAAGAAAACATCATTGAACGACACCGTTACGGTGGTGTAGGAGTGCTCGTTTGGGGTGGAATTATTCTGGGTTCCAGAACTGACCTGCATGTTCAAATTGGAACCATGACAAGCCAAATCTATCGGGATGTCATTCTGGAACAACATGTACGTTTGTTTCGGGTTTGCCATGGGTGCACAATTTGTGTTTATAGATGACAACGCCCGTCCTCACCATGCAAACATCGTAAGCGAATGCCTTCAATCGGAGGATATCACCCGTATGGACTGGCCAGCATTCTCACTGGACTTGTATCCAGTAGAGCACGTGTGGGACATGCTTGGCCGACGAGTTGCCTGTCAACCTCCTCCTACATGTCTACTGGAACTTCAGAGAGCATTACTTTTTGAGTGGTGTAATATCTCCCAAGACCTGATCGATAATTTGATACTCAGCATGCCTAGGCATTGTACAGACTGTATTGTATCATCTGGGAGACATACAATGTATTAACAATCATACCAACCATGTAATATTGTTTTTTTGTAAATAGGTATTTTTTGTAATTTGCTCCAGTGAGAACAAAATCGCTAATTTTTTTAATAATATCAAGCATATAGCATCTTTTTTTTGCTCTTTACCTTTTGTTCAATAAATATGCTTTACAAATAAGTCAAATTTTGCTTCTAACTCTTTTGCCTGATTTTGCATTATCCTTAATTTATGGACATGAGTGTATATTGCGCGAAAGGAAAATCGCTAATTGCAACAATATTGTCCATGCTATCGCCATATTTAAATTTATGGTACAATGTATATGTGGACAACTATTACAATAGTGTAAAGGTTGCAGAGGAGTTATTAAAGCATAAAACAAATATCCGTGGCACAATTAGAGTACACAGAAGAGTGCCAAATTGTTTAAAATCTGCTACATTGAAAAATAAGTCAATGGAATTTTGTAGAAAAGGGAAAATTGTGGTACAAAAATGGAATTTGGCCAAAAAATTTATAATGATGATTTCTACGATAACTTCAGCAGACTTGGTCGAATGTATGAGTAAAAGAACCAAAAAGAAGTGCATTAAACCAATTTGCATACAAAAGTATAATAAATTTATGAAAGGTGTTGATCACGCCGATCAATACCTATTGTGTTATTCCATACTTCGCAAAACAAAAAGTTTTTTTATATCTCATAAAATGTGCATTACTCAACGCGTTCCAGATATACATAACAAATTCTTTAAATCCTATTAGATTCAAACAAATTTACTAAACCTTGCACTAGCATGGATTAATGGGAATGAAGAGGAGCAACAATCAAGATCAGCTGCTCAATGTGATGAAAGATCGCCGAGGTTTGATCCACCAGGCAGACTTACTGCGGACATGAGAAAACATAGAATAACACGCATTTATGGTAATGGGAGAATTCATAACCCACGAAGGGCCTGTATAGTCTGCACTGCCGAAAAGAAAAGAAGTTCCACTACATACATGTGTTCTTCCTGCATTGTTTCTCTGCATGTTGGAAAATGTTTTCAGAATTATCATACTAAAAAGAACTATGGATTCTTGGAGTTAAATTTTTTAAATAAAACGTTTTAGTACTAATTAAAAATATAATTGGAATAAAATGGAATAAAAATAGTGTAACAGTTATTTTAGTGCTTTCTTTAATAATAATTATATACCAACTACTTATGTTTAAAAAAAATTGCGTAAATATCACCGTTGGCGAGCAGTAGAACCTGCGTGAACCGGCGGCAGCGTAACGGTGCTTCGATAAATGTGCGGCCCGCAAAATGTTAAGATAATAGATGCTTCATTATTTCATAAACAAATACTTCATATTTTTAATTTTACAATTTCTACAAGTCATCTTACTAAATTTAAACTGATGATCTAAAATCCAGAAATTTCTGAAATCTCTGGACTCGCCAAAGTCTCAAAGACTCTGGATCTCAGATATTTTTATACCATACACCTTTTTAATATTTTTTTTTTATATCATTTTATGTTAGAAAAAATACATAAAGAAACAAATGCCAGAGCTACTATAACTAAAATTCTTTTTCAACTGAATTAATTTTATTTAAAAGATAATTAATTTTTATACGTTGAATATTATGATTTTTAAATTCCCCCTTAATTTTTTTCCCATTTTTTAATTTTTTGTTTTAATTCTTCTTAAAAATATTAGACTGTAAACTAATGCTTTCAAAATGGAATTCTTTTCTTCCTTCCTTCTTTTTGAAGGGGTTGTTTAAATACATAAATAAATAAATAATAAAAAACTGAAAAAGTATATACACTTTTAAAGCAGTTATTAAATTAATTCAGATGAATATGTATACAACATACAGATCAGCCAACTATGCTTGATATGTAATTTTCACAAACACTTCTGGCAAGACAATATATGGCTCTATGTAAACTTATTTATTCTCAGTTGATTGTTACTTCTCATAAAATTTGCTCCATCACTAATTGTAAATTTCTTACATTCTTAACCTTAGCATTTTTACATCAGAAAAAAATAATAATTTATTTTAATTTTAGATCATGCATTAAAAAAATAATAACATCTGTATAAGTAAAATTAATTTAACAATAATAATTATTTCATTTTTATTGTAAAAAAAGATAGGTTTAATGTTTAGTAAAGTTAATTATTTTACTCTTTAATACTGCTGGGAAAGACTGTGTATCTTTTAGTACATTTCAGGGTTTAATTTCTAAAATTAGAAATGCCGGGGCCCTATGGAAGACCGTCAGCAAAGAAGAACAAGAGTAAATAAATAAATAAAATGACTATTAAACTCATTAATAATTTTAAAGTTAAATAGTTAATTATTATCACATTAATTAATAGCTATTTAATTAATGTTTATAAATTGTTATTTAATCAATAACTAATGTATAATTAAATAATCAAAATTAAACTAAATATAAAGAGATGAATTAAAATTAAATACGCGATTTTTAATATAATTTTATTGCTAAAAACAATTTTTCGAGATAAAATTTCTACTGAAATTGTTATTAAATTACATAAAAGAAGTGTGCTCCAGCTAGAATTAGGATTTATTACAAAACGTAAGAAGCATTGGAGCCGGGATCCAGTGGGCTCCAGCGCAATTTAAGCTCTTATTGTAGGGGGAAAAAAGTCTTTTATAATCACAAAAATTAAATATACTTAAAATATAGATGATGAAAATTCAGATAATGCTAAAAAGAGGGCAAAATTGAATAAAGGCGTGAGGGTATGAGTGGATGGAAACAAAAAATGAGAGAAATCTTCGTGAGAGAGAACGTTCTCTTCGACCGCGGCCTTTTGCTGATATAATTATAGCCATCAAGCGGATGTGTGTCAGGAGTAAAATGAGTTCTGAATATGACTCCTAAGGATGAATGCAAAGTTGCTGGTTATGCTTTTCGCCCCCTGATTTGGTTACATTAGTGAATACTCTGGGAATACGATGTATAGGACGTGCTTGAGCAGTTTATCTCAGTATTTCACTCTTATTGTACTTGCTGTCACATTTAAGAACACAACTTGCAAGGATAACTAACTGTAACCATCGATAACAATACACTAGATACAATGGCATGGCAAGAAATGTACGCATTCCTAAATAAACTTCCCCAAATTTATTGCCCTTCTTAAAGGGAAAGGTTTCCGCATGTGAGTGAGGGGACTTTACCCCTCACTCACATTTGAACGTCTCATGTTCTCATGAGCTCGTATTCCTAGAGAAATAGAGTATTGCAAGATCTGCTTATTGTTAAACTAAAACGTTAGGAATTCTATTTTTTTCCCTTGAAATTGTTGCTCAGTTTTATAAAAAGAAGTACCGGAGCTCATCTTATTTAGGGCTCCAGTGAGCTAGAATTGTAATTTATCTTAAAAATTCAGAAGTACCAAAGCCGGGCTCAAAAGCACTGTTGAAAAAAAAAAAAAAAAAAAAAAAAAAAGCAATACATTTATATATGCATACACACATTTAATTTCTTAGCTTGCACTACAGCAAATGCATATTTAACCTACAGTAAAAAGATATCCTAATTTTTAAGATGAGCTGTAGTATCCTTAGTCAGATTTTTGAGTTAATTATAAGTATTCTCAAAGAATCACTTAAAACATGAACACATTTTTACAAACCATTTCAATTACACACAGTAAATAATAAATACTAACATTTAAGTAAAAATCCTCTGTCTCTTGCTTATCAGCTCTACGCTTTAAGGCAAGTGTTTCAGGCTGTTTTAAACCATTTCTGTTTGCAGAATCTTCTTCAAACATAGCAGTGCAATCAAAATCTTTAGTACTCAGCATCTCTAAGAGAGTCTTCTCAGCCGTTTCTAATGTTTTCCAGATCTAACAGCAGAGGGATGAAAAATTAATGCAAAATGTTCTTAATATATTTAAAACTAGAGTTTTTTTTCAGAATATAAACAACATAACTGTAAAAACATTCAATAACTCTTTTAGAATTGATTTTGATGAATAAAAGTTTCCAAGCATTTTATGTAATACACATATACATGAATCATATATCTGTGATGTAAGATGAAATATGAAATATTAACTTTCAGAATTTATCCGACAATAACTCACCATTTCCAAAATGCTTTTAAAAATGGTCGCATCAGCTTAAGAAAAAGTTTAATCTGTGGTATAATACACAAAAACTTCTTTAGTAACTTTGTTAGAGACATTTTTAGACCAAATTTCTTAAAGTACCTTACAGTCACAATGTAAGTTCAGCGAAACAAGTTTGAAAAGAGAAACTGTTTATTCAAAGAAAAAAGCATGGGATGACCATCCATCAACAATGAACATTTGTACAATTTGAGCTCATAGCAAACTGACACGTCAGGAGATAATTTAATATACTAGAAGCATCAGTATGACTATGTGTCATACAGGCAAAAAAGAAAATATATCAATAATGAACATTTCAGCTATTTAACCTATGAAACAATGGCAAATTAACATTCTGGCAGACAACTTGATATGCTCCATGCAACTGTGGGGTAATGTTTTACACAAGCACTTGCAGCTTTTACATGTTATACGAATTTTAAATGGTACAAGCGCTAAACAACTCACAAAGAAGAATAGAGAGTGTTCCATGTACGGTTGAAGATGTATGGTTTTGCAGACAGACGGACAAAGTCAAGTGTTGCTTAAGAGGGAAAATAAGGAGGCATAATTTGACACCTTGGAGTTCAGAAAATCTGCATGTCATGCTAAAACATAAACATCATTCTCTGAATCTACACCATGACCAACTGTTGTCTTTCTCCATGCAGTCCACTGTTACAAGATAAATCTATTTCCACATCCTCTCCAAAAGGTTTTTCCTCAGGAAGAAGGCTTCATATTGCAACAAGATGATATTCTACCATACTGGTATGTGATTACCTCAATTAATGTCCTCCAAAATGCTGGGTTCACTGTGTTTCAAATGACATGCCACTCATATTCAGACTCCTAAAATTAATTATCTGACTTATACTGGAATTTTTTCCACTTGGTGTGCGATATGTTTAGGACAATATGTTTGATTAGGGGACAATATGTTTGTTCCCTTGCTTCCATAGGATTTATAACAGTTCATGCTATGGATAAGTGGAATTGTTAACTGAGCTGATCAGGTTATGCTGGAACAGGGTGGAAGGAACTAGATTAACACTGTAGTGTCACAAAAGGCATTCACACTGAAGATGTGTTAATGTCCATAGCAATCAGGATAATTTACCTTTTATAGTCTAAATCTAAAAGAATTCATTACAGCAGTTACAGATATATCTTCTTTCTCTAATTTTGAATTATTTTGTCAAACAAAATATTTTGAAAATGTATAAAATAACGGTTTTAAATATGGGTCTCAAACCATAACATTATGCATATAATAAATACCAAACTCAATATATCTGATATAAATGTTATTCTAAAATTTATTAGTTACTTTAACTTGCAATACCAAAATTTTAAACTAAAGTATAAGAATGTCTCTTAAAAAATACAGCTTATCCTTTAGATTATATACACTTAAAGAGAAAATATGCATAAGGTAAATAGATATGAAAATATGAATAAATATAGCTAGTTATTGTGGAGGTGATTCTCATCAGGCATGGCTCCAGGAATTTTGGTACCGTAGTTCCAGCAGTACCCCACACAAATTAAGTAGGTCAATAATGTCCCCCCCCCAAAAAAAAACTTTAGTTGTTGCTCGTGAGAAAAACTGTGCTCTCTGAAAATTTGATGTTCTAGGCAGTTGTTTATGTTACTATGTTCGAAGCTAGACTTGCTTATCCTCCTCCTTAATAATACAGGCTTTTATCGTTTTCAGAGTTTCCCGATTTCCTCTTCACCCAAAAATATAACAATAATCCTTTTGCAATTTGTATAATGACTTCTAATTGTCCAAGATTGCTGTTCTATTTTAGTAAGAGTAATTTCATAAAGAAATAGTCTAGTGAAGTGCTAAAACAAAACTATATTTTGGTTGCTAAAGCTAAAACTTTGCAACATGAATGTACTGTATTCAGGAAACCAATTTATAAGAATACTAGGCAAATTAAATGGTCACATAATGGATAAGTTGAATCTAGCAAGAAATTTCCTATTTATAGAATACAGATATATTATTTCTTCACATTTTTTAAGATAATAAAAATTTAACAGGAAAAATAATTTTTCATACCTCTTCACTTTCAGTTTTAAGGGAAGTAAGTCGGTTATTGACCACTTTAAATCGTTGTTCTAGCTCTTCCTGGATGGGTTTTTCAACACAAATCTGTGTCACCTACATGACAGAATATTTTATTTTTGGAATCATTACTTGATTAATTTAAAATATTAATACAAAATAAATTCATGCATCTCTATTTTTTGATATAGAGCTACTAAAAAATGTGTTAACAGAAAATCAATGCATAGTTACACAAGCAATAGCTCAAGAATGTTGAAGCATACACTAATGAGAAATGCTGCTATTTATTAACTACAGAACTTAATTTCTTTTCATTAAGAGACTTTTTTTCCCATCTTTTATTATTACCATCACCAGTCTAAAGAACTGTTTAACTGCACAGATCAGAAGATATATTGTACAGATACAGATCAAGAGGAGATTGGGAATAACATATACACGAAAAAGGTGTTTCTAATGATCCTCATCATTATTAAGTTACCATTATCTGTATATAGATCAACCAGGGTTCATCAAAGCAGAAATCTAAAATGATGCAATATAAAGGTGCTTGCACCTTTACAAAAATATGTTTTTAACATAATCAACCTTCATAAAGATATCAGCAAATGTATGCTAGGGAAATACTATGCAAACAGGATCTTTCATTTATTAATTCAAAATAGCAAATAAAACCTTATTTGTATTAATACAGTCAAAAGTCGTTAATCCGGACTCGTCGGGACTTCGGCGATTCCGGATTATAGATCATCAGTTTAAATCTGGTAAGATGGCATGCAGAAATTATAAAATTAAAAATATGAAACTGTAATTTATGAAATAAAGAACAATTATGATCTAAAGGGTATCAAAATTCACACACACACACGAAAAAAAAAAGAGCTTAATATTTATTTGTTTACTTTATTAAACATTTCTTTCAATGTAAGTAGTTTAAGTTGCTTCATTTTATGTGATAATACTTTCTCTTTAATTCTATAAACAGACATAATTTTTTGTTCGGTTACAAAGTTCCGCTGTTTAAGTCCTATAATTGCTGTGTCGAGAATACCGACTAATTTGTCAATAGAAATATTTTCATTTTCAATAAACTCTGTGTCACTTTCTTCACTATTGGAAGCAAATTATAATGACGAGGAATTTGATTTAAATCATATCAAAGATGGAGTACATTGAGACGAAATACTACATTTAGTAAGGAATTATAAGCCAAATAAAATAAAAACATCTGCCCTGAAGATAAGGATAGTGCTGACAGATCAACTTCCAATTCATTGCGCGCTGCACCTTGAATGCTACAAACTTTCTGCTCAAACAACGCAAAAACAACGCTCAAACAACTGCACATGCGTCAAGCGCAGAAAGTTTGTAGCTTTGAGGTCCGGATTATAGATCATTCCGGATTATGGGTGTCCGAATTAACGACTTTTGACTGTATATTAAGTTGAAATAAATCTGGTCTTTATGATAAAGTGATAATTTCAAGCATGTGAAAAGTTTGTTCTCAGCATTTAGGTCAGAAGTGTTTTGAATGCAAATTCTTGTTACTATTTCTATTTGTTGTTGTCATAGGTAAAAAATAGATTACCTAGCACTTACAAAACAACACTTTTGATGGAACAACTACACTTGCAGCATTTATTAGGCAACAAAATTATAAAAAATTCACAATCCTCTTTTGCAAAGTGCAACAGAATCGCCAGTTTCGATCATATTTAATGCAAAGTAATTCAAGTACAATGTCTAGAACTATCGAAGCTTTATGTTCAAGCCCAGATGTATAAAAATTTTCAAAAATTCAAAATTTAAAAATCGAATTAATTCAAAATAAAATTCATAATAGTGCCTGGGCATAAAGGTTCAAAGTAATAATACTGAAATTCATGAATGTGCAGCTTCAAGAGTGTATTTAATTATGGCAAAGCACACTAGGGCTATCTGCCTAAGGGGAGGGATGCCTTCGTGGAGGACTTTTTAAGAGAAACTGGCTCGTATACACGCTACACATGGGGAAAACCACGAAAACACCCATGCAGCCAGCCCATTTCGCCGGATTCTAACCTCGGACCGAACTACCAGTGTTCAGCGACTTCTACCGCTCGGCCGCTGGTGGGCCATGCAGCTCCAAGAAAATTCCATAAGTTTCTATCTTCATTAACTTTGGCCAAACCACAAAAAGATGCTGGCACCTTCACACTGCAAAGAAAAAAGGCTTCCTTGAAATATCAATTATATTCTCACCCTAAATCAAGTACAGAATCTCTGAATAAATGGTTCAATTAGTTTACCTGTTGCACCACAAAAAAATAATGCCTTTAATTTCCTCATTCCAAGCCAAAATGTGGCACAGGAAAAGGAATGTCTCAATCTATCAATCTAAGTTAACTGACTATTTGCATAGGCCAAGGTCAGTCCACACTAGAAAGTGGTGGGCATCATTTTTATCATTCACTTTTTAATTTGAGATTTAGAAACCCAGCAGTGTTTGAGAGCAAAATATACTTGAAAAATAATAAATGTTCCCTCACCTGGAATTAAATGTTGAATTTCTGAATCATGAGTTCAATATGTTAAATCACTGCACTTTTAAAACATGTGGCAGAAATGCCTTTAATTCCTAACCCTTCTCAAAATGCTGCTCCCAAGAAGTCCCAAGTCATACTTGATCAAACCATAATGGTAACCAAATTATCACCTACCATTTTTAATCTGGACACCAGATAGCAGGGCTAAGAAGGGATTTATATGCAAGAAATTCTCAGGGGGAGGGAACACTACACCTTCAGTCAGAATTAAAAATGGAATCACCATATAGGTGACTCAATGTGCTAACTGTTGCACTAAAATAGCAAATGGGAGGAATATTTTTAATTCTTTGCAAATTAAATTCGAAGCTTTAATAATTATCACACATGTATAAATAATATATTTATGGTCCTCAGTTTACCATAATTTAAAATTCAATCATTTACATATATTTATGCAACTAGAAAATAGAAATACAAAATAGTTCACCTCATCGCCTTTATGAGGTTGAAATTCAAATTTCTTTGGCACCATGAAAGCAGAGTTATTGTACTCTAAAAATCGCTGCTTGTCAACTCTTGAATCTAGATTAGTAATGCACTTATTCATCCCATCAATGCTTGCTTGTTGGGACTTTTTAAGGCACTCTTCAGCATTAATGGAAACCATGAGAGTATGAGCGAGTGATGTGTGAAATCCAAAATCCATGCACTGAAAATATGAACTTTCATTAATAAACAATTACATTTATAAACACATTATGCAATATGTTATTTATGTTAATTCAAAAAAAAAAAAAAATTTAACAGTCTATGGTGCTTTAAGAAACTTTAGGGTATTTGATGAAAACAATATGTTAATACATCACGCTTAGTACACTGAATAAGTAAAGCATACAACTGTCATCTAGCACTTAATGTTTGGAAAATATTACTAAAATTTTTAGTAAATGGGATTAAGTCAGTACTATGATACAAATTAATCCCATCTGCAATGAAGCATTAAGCACCGGTGTACAGTAAAAAGTGTTTGTTAATTAATATACAATAACAACGCTGAACAAATATTAATTTAGAAGCCAAACAACAAAAAATCAGCGTTATATTTTCAAATTTTTCACAGGACCAGTTTCGATGGTTTTACCGAACCATCATCCTCAGCTGCAAAAGCGTAATATGGCCTCATTCATATCTTCATATGTTAATTGAAAATATAATGCTGATTTTTTGTTGTTTGGCTTCTAAGTTAATAAGTGTTTGTTAGTTAATGTTTAAATACAGATGCTAACATTTTTTAGGTTGAAATCAAATAATGTGTTTTAAACAGACCATTTAAAACACAACTTAATTACCATCCACTTTTATATGTTGGTAAAAGGAATGCAAATTACAAAACTTGCAGAAGAAGGAGGGAAAATATATATTAAATTTGGTCTTATAGAAAACTCTATCAATCTCAATTCAGTCTATGAGGTCAATCTTCTTTTTATTATAAAAAAAAATTCTCTATCAGACAATAAAGTTTTACAGAAATTTCTGTCAGTTGCCAGAGAATTAGGCAATGAGGTCATGTCTTGTTGAGCAAAAGTAATGTATATTACATATTATGCAGTAAGAGCCCTTAATTGATAAGAATTTTCTATAAGACAAATGTTAATTTAAGGTTAAAATTAATACATAATTTTTAAAACATACAATACATCTACAGTTTTAGAGGATTTTCTTTTTTTCTTTTTCCTTAAATAATTGACAAATGAAAATTGACAGCTTTTATTACTATGCAATCTTGCTTTTCATAGAATATCTCTTTATGGATAGAAATTTTAAGCAGTAAATCGTCACTTCAATTTAGTGAATATCTGTTGTCATGGATTCAAAAGCTGAGCAGAGAATAGCAATAAAGTTTTGCTGTGAAGCAGGAAAAAGAAAACAAAAATGGAGGTATTTGAAATACTGCGTAAAGTATATGGAGATCAAGCATTAGCATGATTCAAAGTTTTTCATGTTAATGCTCAGTAACTTAATAGCCTTTTTCAGTCTCAAACCGATGAGATCACTGAGGAAGTTTAACAACTTGCCCCTCTGAATGATAGCTGATGAGCTTTGCTGTAGTAATGACACAGCTCACACACTAATTGCATAACAAAAAGATCAAATTTCCGCATGCCATAATTTGATCCAAAATAAACATTGATCCTGATGTTTTTAAACAAATTATGATTAAGATGAAATGTGGAGTTTTCCTTGTGATCCTGATCTATCAGTTGGAGAAAGTCTGCCAGAGAAACAAGAACTTTACTTTCAGAAATTTCAGGCAAAGTCATGTTGTTGGTGACCTTTCTTGAGAGGAAACGATTTCATAAGGAATTTATTTCTAGATGGCAGATGGTGAACCCATATTTGTAAAAATGTAATGGACTGACCTCTGAAGAGAATTCATTATGTTAGGTTTGAAGAAGCTCAATCAAATTACTATTTTTTGCACTGTTACAGAATTCCATTTTTTTTAAGCAACAGCTGAGAGAATTCTTGGTCATCCCCTCTTCCATTTGCCAGATTTTAGCATCTTCAAAAACTTTCTCTTACCTAAAGTGAAGTCTCAGCTTACAGGCCATTCATTAATTTAATAGTTTTATAGAGATTTAGAAAATTGTAACCATGGAGCTAAACAATTTTTCAAAATGTGAGTTCTACAAAGAATATTCAAGCAGCTTTATGAACATGCTAAGCACTTTGTACGCAACTTAAAAAAAAATTATGTATTGAAGGCTAAGAACTTTTTCTTCTTCGATTCTGAACAAACTTAGTCCTTAAATACGGCGTCCAACAAAAAAATGTATACACACTTCAAGACTGTATCTGTATCCATTTTGAAGCTGAACTGAATTATCTTTATGTAGTATAGTGTTTACTTAACAAAGGTCAATATTCTCATGACCGAAATATGTGATGTATGATATATGACAGTAAAAAAACCAAAATAGCCTTGGCTTGTGTGCCCTTAAATGATGTTAGTAGCATAAGAAATTAGTTACGCTGAAGGTCGTTCTCCTAGAAATTACAGCAACATGTACATCAAACCCCGTGAACACTGATCAATGTCATTCAAGCAACCACTCCCCATTTTTCAAAGTGTTTGGCCCCTGACACTCTAAATAACTGCAGGAAGATTGCAAGAAACCTATGACATGCACAGTTACTAACACACAATAAATAATTTTCTTTCATTAAATCGTACATACCTTTCTGATGGGCCTCGTATGTATATACACTGTGATACAAAGCGTCTTAAAAATAATAATATAAAAATTAAATACAGGAAGTTTCAAATTATAAGTTTTTGAAACTTGGTAAGTTTTAATAAAAATATACAAAGTTTATCCCTTTCCTTCATTTTCTAATATAACATTTTTTAGAACATATAGAAAAATTTAATATATATAAATAAATTTTCAGGAATTTTTTTAAATTCACATCGTTCAGAATGATTTATACATAGTACCCCCCCCCCCCCCCCCCCCCCCCCCCCCCCCCCCCCCCCCCCCCCCCCCCCCCCCGTCCTCAAATACTATAATGGTACCTCAGGTAATTTCTGATTGTATGAACTGCTCCTCCCACATTTTTTTGAAAACCGAAGCATTTTTCCTGATGGCCCATTAAAAAAAAAATTGAGTTTCATATATTAAAAGGTGTCATTTCACCAAAATCCTTGTAATCTGAGATTACCATATTTGATGTTAAAGACCATGATCTAAAACACTAACTGTAAATAAATGATCGCAGCTGAAAACATTGCAGCAAAAATACTGCAGATGAAAACGTCACGGAGAAAACAACGCAAGGCAAATACGCTGTCATACAAAATCTCATGGAAGAAAAGAAAGCAAAGAGAAAACATCGCAATTTTAAATCATCACGGTACAAAATATTGCCATTGAAAAATACGGTTAAAAAATTTCACAGTTTAAAAACATCGTTGTCAAAAAGATCGTGGTAAGAACTAAAGCACTTACAAATCCTCGCATAATGATAACATCGCAAATATGGGTTTTCCAGGATTTAAAAGTTCTAAATGCATATTTGTATAATGATTTACGAACGCAAGAAGGAAAGAGGAATGTTTTAACTTTTATATTTCATGTTTCTGAATTAAACTTTTACTGAAAAAGTAAAAAAGAAACTTAAGCCTTTAAAAACTGAAAATGAGCAGAAAAATTAATGCAACTCATAGTACTTAATAGAATTTTAAACTTACATAGTTAACTAACAAAGTTTACTAAAAAATCAAACTATTTTATAAAGTTTTGCTGTTAATTTTTCATGAAAAACAGTGTATAAAAAAGATTAGGTTAGGTTAGGTTATTTAATTATGGCAAAGCCTCGAGCGCTATTTGCCTAAGGGGAGGGATACCTTCATATAAAATTCATAATAGAATAATAATAAATAATATATAAAATTCATAATAGTGCCTGGGCACAAAGGTTCAAAGTAATAAAACTGAAATTCATGAATGTGCAGCTCCAAAGGTGTATTTAATTATGGCAAAACACACTAGGGCTATTTGCCTAAAGGGACGGATGCCTTTGTGGAGGGCTTTCTAAAGGAAACTGGCTCGTATACATGTTACACATGGGGAAAACCATGAAAACACCCATGCAGCCAGCCCGTTCACGAGATTTGAACCTCGGACCGAACTACCAGTGTTCAGCGACTTTACTGCTCGGCCGCCGGTGGGCCATAAAAAAGATTAGAAAAAGGAAGATAAATTATTATGCGAATATGTATTTACAACTTTTAAAGAATGGGGAAACACATGTCTGCTTTGTTATTCTCTTATGATGATTTGTAAGTGCTGTATTTTTTACCTCGATATTTTCGTCAACGATGTTTTTAAACCGCTTTATTTTCGGCAATGATATTTTGTACCATGATGTTTACAAATTGCAATGTTTTCTCTTTGCTGTCTTTTCTCTCATGATGTTTTGTACAATGACATTTTCGGCTTGCGTTGTTTTCCGGAACGTTTTTGGCTGACACCAAATAAGTAAACTGCTTTTTTTAAATACTTTCGAGTTCAAAACTATGAAATCCGGTGCTAATTTTTTTCTAATGAATTTTTTAATTATAAAAATAGATTAATATTTGTTGCACAGATAAAAAAAACTGATACAGCAATTACAATCCTTCTCACATCATTTAAGCCATAATATATTCTTATATGAATAAATATACATATATTTTATTCTGATTCTAGCACATAATATTGAGTTACATTTTATGAAACAGAAATTAGTTAAATACTTAAATAATTAGCACACAGCAGGAAATTAAGAGAAAATTTTAAAGCATACACAGTTTTAGCAGCAACAATAGAACAATTGCTATTTATAAATGCCTTAAATGTTTCAAGCAATTTTCTAAAATAAATTATTAAATTTAAAAATTGAATACTGACTGCCAGAATATGAAATTCTAATTCTGAGATGGGAGAAATAAAAATTTCTGAACTTACATCAATGATATCGGATAAATCATCCACAAAATATTTGTGAATGGCTGCATTACTTGCATCCATGCATAATAAATAATCATTTCTAGCTTTTAATGCTTTCAGCTTGGCATCATTATACTTCAGTCGACGCTAAAAAACAAATGACAATTATTATACATTCAAAATTGTTCACTGCAAGATCTAAATATGAATATTTGGAAAAGAAAACAACTACAAAAAATTGTTACCCATAATACTTTATTATTTTTCTAGACAAACTTTTAAGTTTAAAAGTAGTTTGGAAACATGATTTAAATGTAAATTGCTGTTATAAATTAACTTCTCACTAGCAGGAAACTTTATTATACATACATGCATACTTAGAATGCAGCATGCCATGATGTGTCTGCCTTATCAACTGTCAGTAGTACGTTACACACCTGCCATGGCCTTATTGGTAATGAGAAATCAAGAGTTCAGTTTTGAAGAGAGAGAGAGTGAGAACTGGCTATCGCATCTAAGGAAGGCAGCCAGACTTGCAAATTATCCAATCCCAAAACAGAGACATAGTGATGAAAGGTAACAATGCCAGACTCTTGTTAACTCATAACTGGAAATAACTAAATTCTTTAATGAGGATCAGCTGTGAGGCAAGTCTGGTTTAGCAGACATGTTAATTGTAGGTCTAATTGTGTATATTAACTTTCCAGCATGCGCGCGTGTGCACAAAATTTATCACAAATTCAGTTTTTAATGCACATTTTTTGCATATTGAAGTTAAGACGTCTGAAGGTCATCTTTATTCCTCCTTTCTACCCTTCCCCACATCATGAAATGCGCCAACAGGAAGTCATTTGACTTTCTTTTTTACTGGGCATTTGTGCTACGTGGCAGCTTTTTCGTAAAAGTTACGACACGAGCATGTTCATGGGTGAAAATTCGGAAAATATTTTTTTCTCAAATATTTAGTAATTTTGTGTTATTAATTGCTGTGTATTATTTTAATTTGAATACATTTGGCTCAGTAAATTTTATATCAGTTTTCATAGCAAAAAATATGTGCAACCAGCTAATTTTGCTTGCATTCTTCAAGAATTATCTGATGAAGAAAACGAAGACAACGCAACCTTTGGATGGGAGAACAATAGCGATTTCCATTCCTTATTTTCTTTTATTTCTATCTTTTAGAAATAAATAAAAACATTAACGTTAGTTTAAAGTGCATTTTTGTAACCAGTAAGAAGTAAATTTCCTTGCAGAAGTAAGTAATGCTAAACTTATCTTTTTTTTTTCCTACCAAGGCAGGTTTTTTTATTTAATTTTTATTTTTTTTATTTTTATTGTCTATACTTGTCTTTGATGAATATTAAATTAGCTTCAATTTTAAAATATAATTATTAAATAATAAATTTAAAATTTTCTATAATGAAATACATCATTGCATTTTCATCTCGCTAACATAAGACCTTAAAATAATTTACTTATATTTGAATGTGATATCATTTTTATTTTGCAATAATAAGATTAATATTTCATTTCTTAACAAATTTATTATCAATATTCACTCATTTCGGTCGCTTTTTATGCCAAAAATGGTAAAATAATGGATGTCATAAAAAATAAGACGCGTGCGTTCTCATGTAAAATTGCCAAGCGCATGTGCTGTAAGTTTAAAATAATGCTTACAATATATTATGAAGCAGTTAATCTTTGAAAGTAATGTATGAAAGAATATTGTTCTTTCATGGCATTTTATTGACATTTTCACTGAAGTAACACTTTTAGCTTACTTTCAAAAACATTTCTGCATTATTATCACATTCCATATTATTATTACTTAATAGCACTAATGTTTTTACTGAAGTAATCCTTTAATCCAATAAACTAGATAATGTTTAAAAATTGCGAAAGAATTCAACAAAATATATACCTTTTGAATTTCTTTTTCAATTAGCCGAAACTTTTTTGACCTCTGTAATTTTTCTTTGGGAATAGATTGTTCTAGTTTGCTTTTTTGAGCTTCTACATACATTAGCTTACCCTCTGCTTGCTTTTCTTCAGTATGGTAAGTATAATAAGTTTTCATAGTCTAAAAAATAAATATTTGAATACATAAAAATCATAAATATAGTTTTATCAAAGATATCATAGTTAATAGAAAAGTAAAAACAAAATATGAAAAATTTAACACACATAAAGCCAAAAGTCACAGACACAAAAGTAATCACTTGATAATTATTACATGAATAATTATTTATTTTATAAAAGAAATATATATTGTTAAGAAAGAGGAAAAAAAGAAAACTAATGGATGAGAAAAAGTGAATTATAAATTCATATACTTACAGTGTGTAATTCATGTAAAACTTTCAGAAGTTCATCATGAATTTCAATACCAACTTCTCTGCACTGAAAAGTAAAAGTAAACTTTTATGACATATAATGCCCAAATTGTCCAACATCATTAAACTAGAGCAAAAATAAATAAATAAAAGTATTTTTTTTCTTATATACTTCATTTACTAATTACATAGTGCAAATCCTACTTTAATGGATAATATTATTAATTATTATATTATTTACAATACTCTTGAATTATTGGGGGACCAGATTTAAAAATGTACGTGTTCATGTATGCATATATGTATATGCAAAAAATTTAGAAGTACTGATGTAGGAATACCAAGACGAAATGCAGAAAAATACTGATGATGAACCTCTTCAATATGCAGTAGATGGCATATTGAAGAGGAATCGTAATATCTAAGAAACTTGGCAGTCGAAGCAGTTTTAATTCTATTTTTATTTTTCAGTTGACGTTTGTGACCACAATTCACTTAGCACCCTAGTCGTGCCTATTCACAGAACATTTACATTTTTGATATTATTGCGATAGCAAGCAAGATAATGAAATTACATCCTAGGTTGGTAGAGAGCAAAACTGAAGTGCATAGTTATGTGATATGGAAGCACACAAAGAGAAAGTTTTTGGTGGTTTGAGTTAAAAGTTTCAGTTCCCAATTATTACGTTATCAGCGCTGTGCAGGCCATGGGAAATCAAATGATCTAGAAATGACACAATCCAGAGAAGTTTTTATAATTCATAAAATAGAGAGGGAGAGTTAAAGGGTTACCCATTAGTTTAAATTATAATTTTGATTTGCATATTTTTTATCTCACGTATTCCCTCCCTTTATAAAGAGAAAGAGGCTTGATGACAGAAAAGCCTTTTTAGAAAAAAAAAAAAGCATTACAGAATTGGGGGGGGGGATGATATAAATAATTTTTTTAAATAAAAAGTCTTGTAGATATCTTTTTCAACAATTAACTCAAATTGAAAACTCTATTGAAATTTAAAAGTCTTCAAGTTCATTTTTCTGTAAAACACTGTAAGGAATATTAGCACGATTTTGGATACACTGGTGTAAGGACACTAAGACGTAGATGTGCAGAAATGCTGATGGCATAGATACTTGATGCTTAGAGCGTCTAGCCATTTTAAAGAAGAAACAGTTGGGCCGGACTAAATTCTGTTTTTATTTAAATTCACATTAGTTGCCACAATTCACTTGGCACCCTAGTCCTGCATATTCACAAGACATTTACATTTTCGATATTATTGCGATAGAAGCAAGACAGCGAAATTACATCATATCAGGGTAGAGAGAGAAGCTGAAGTGCGTAGTTATGCGATATGGAAGCACACAAAGAGAAATGTTTGGGTTTGAGTTAAAAGTTTTAGTTCCCAATTAATACATCATCAACGCTGCGCAGACCATGCAAAATCGAATGATCTAGAAATGATGCAATCCAGAGAAGTTATTACGACTTGTAAAACAGAGAGGGAGAATTAAAGGATTACCGTTAGTGTAAATTTTGATTGCATATATATACACACTGAAGAGCCAAAACATTATGACCACCTACTCAATAATGCATTGTGTGACCTTTGGCCTGCAAAACAGCTGCAACTCACCTTCTATAAGTTCTTGGTAGATGACTGAAGACAGGTTGTACCAAATGCCTAAGCAGCGGTCTCGCAAAGTCGAGATATTTTGACACGGTGTCCGAGCTCTGAGCAGCTGCATGACATCCCAAATGTGCTCTATCGGGTTACGATCCAACAAGTTAGGTGGCCAGGACATTAATTGGAATTCATCTATATGCTTCTTGAACCACTCCAGCACAATTTAAGCATTGTGATATGGAGCGTTGTCCTGCTGAAAGATTCCATTTTCAGTTGGGAAGACAAGACACTATATAAGGATGCAACTGATATGTAGCTTTCATGGTCTGTTCTATCATTAGCAAAGTCCCAGAGCTACCTATGAGAACATTCCCCAAAGCATAATACAGCCACCACCGACCTCTGTATGACCTGTTGTATAGGGAAGGAGAGCAACTGTTCATCTGGAAGACGGCATGCTCTGACAAAACCATCAACGTGATGAATGAGAAATCATGTTATCCATGGTTCCACTCTCAATATTCCCAGAGTCAGTTATAGCTACTGTATGCATAACTAAAAATGACGCTTAGTCAATAGAGGCATATGAATAGGATGTCTGCTACACAGTCCATATTGAACTGTGTGTTCCGAAACACTTGCAATTGAGCCTGCATTTTATTGAGCTGTCGGCTGAGCCATTGTTTGGCACCGATTTTGCTGTACCAAGCAGGACAGTCTTTAATGCCACTTTTCTTTGATGGCATGTGGATGTCCATCATCTTGGCGTCTACAGTTGGTTTCATTGTCATTTATCCACTCCGCATAAATATTAACAATGGCAGATTGTGAACAACCTACCAGTCGTGCAGTTTCAGAGATACTCGTTCTGAGTCTTCGAGCCATTACAATCTGCCCTCTATCAAATTTGCTTAGATTAGCAACCTTTCCAGTCACTTGCAAAAGTAAGTACAAAAATGATCCCTTAACTTCTCCGGCAGCAGTTAAATACCATTACCACCTAATCACATGCCTTCCCACATCATCCAGGTGAATTCATTGAAAAATGTGGAGATGGTCATAATGGCTTGTCAGTGTATCTACATATGCATGTATGTGTGTGTGTGTGCATACACATATGCACATAAAACATGCCACACATACATACACTTCTGAATTCAATCTCAATAACAGAAGAGTATCCAATTTACCATAATTAGTGAATATAAAAAGCTAATTTTCTATGGCATATATTTCAAACATTTTGTGTTTGTAAACTTAAAACTGCATGATTAAAACTTAAAACTGCACATAAAATTTGGAACTTAACATTAATTAATCCGCCAGTAGACTCCTTTTTCATTAACCTACAATTCAGAGACCACATATTTTTACAAATTACAATGTTACTTCATTTGTGATATTCATAAAATTGGGAAATCACAATTTCACTGCATTAATACAACAGTAGTAACAATACAAAAGAAAAGCATCTAAAATACTGCTATATAAAACTGCACATAATAACAGAACCTCAAGAAATATACATACCCTTCTGTAAATACGCTGCACATCCTCCATTATACATGTCATTCTATTAATGATAGTGTTTGCATAAATTTCACTAATGGCTGCATGATCTCTGCTCTGTCGACGTGTGGTAGAGATCAAGTGCTGCCAGCATGCATAAGAAGAAAACAAATGCCATTGATCCCTCCTGTTACAGAAACAGAACATTATAAACAGTAATTTCATAACATCTACATTGTTCACACAACACAGTTCTACATTGTTGCTGAAGTAGAGCTCATGCATAATCATGGACAGTTTGCTGTAAGCAAGCTTTCAGCAGCAATAGTGACAATATCTTACCTGACTACTTAAGGCATTCAAGTAATACCCAGATGAAAGGAATTATTGAAAAGAGTAAATTAATTACATACTTGCAAAACATTCAATTTTCAAAATAACCTCCTGCATTGCAATGCTAGTTTCCACAATGAATATGCTTGGTTAAGTGCACATTCACCTTCAAAACGATAACATTAGAGAATGCATGAGCTAAATCTGGGCTTAATATGGATGTGGAGACATGTCCACTTCATTACAAATGATAGACATTCTCCAGATTTTCTGCAAAGTCTGACCAAATCCTATGTACTTGAGATACCTTTCTGAACTAAAAATTTAATGATAATCCTTTATGCCATGAACTAAGACATTTCACTCAGTCACCAAATTCACAGATGCCATACATGATTGATACAAATAACTCTTAGTTCACTATACATGTGAGCCAAAGTCATTTAAATTGTCGAATGCAAGCACTTAAAAAATTCAAAGATAATCCTTTGTTTCCATAGATTAAGGCACTTCCTACTTATTCACCATACACACAGGTAACACAAGGACTAAGTTCCCACAACAATGCATATAACATGTAACAGCAAAAATATCAAAGATCACTCACTCATTCTGTGGCAGTAATCACTATATATATATATATATATATATATATATATAAAGTATTTAAATGCTTTAATACATGCTAATTTTAATCAAGAATAGCCCTAACTAAGGTCAAACTATAAAGAAAATACATCTTACAGTTCCAATCTTATTGAAATAACAGAATATATTGTCTGCATGTTACAAATAATGACACCAAACAAAAGAATTACTCTCAATAATGAATATTACATGGTCTGAAGAAAGAGGTGGAATGGCTGAATCAACCGCTAACATTTCTTATTAAAAATTACTTTTAACTTTTTTTTTTTTTTTTTTTTTTAAATCCTAAATAACGTTTTTATATCCTTTTCAATCACAGGTACTTATTCTAGAAAACCTAATTTTCTGTTTTGAGCATTTTCTGAAAATTGTCCTGGTTTGAACAACAAATATCATGATAAACCTATTTATGCACATTCCTAAAAACTTAATTTCATTTTAAGAATGAAAAAAAAAAAAAAAAAAAAAAAAAAAAACATATAAAGACAGCACAATAAATATAAGAAAACTGGATTGCATGTTGTTCTACAAACACTGCTCACATGCATGGGAAAATGTCAAAAAACGTCATGTTCTCTTTTAATTTTTTTAAGAAAAAAAATAGCCTTTTTATGGGAAAGGAATGATTTGTGGATTAAGTGAAGAACAGAATACTTATATATGATAGTTGATAAGTTTTTCATTAATGCTATAGAATATATTTACTAAACATTGTAGGCACCTTGTAAATTATCTAATGTACATCTTGTAGACATTCATTTAAATGAATTCGACGTTTTTTTTTTTTTTTTTTTTTTCTTCTTTCTCTTTCAAAAATAGGCATGTTACTTTTATATTAATAGAACTAAAAATATACACATAAGTAAATAAATAAACACATCATAAAATGAACAACAAAGCTTAATTTACTTAGCCTAAATGCCCCCAAATGGGAAAGTGAATAGCAACGACTGCCATACTGAAGGGCCCAGGTGCAAATCCCAGTGAAGTCATGGATGTTTGTAAATGTATAGTGTCTGTGTAGTAAGAAGGCATACAAAATATGCAGTGAGCCAAAATTCCTCTCAACAGATTGGTAGTAGGGGAAGAGGAGTGAGGGGACCCTCGGATCTTTTCTTTGGGGTGCTCTTCCTCAAAATTGGAACAAAATGAAGCTGGACTGCCACCTATATGATGCTCAAGACTCTGGCCAACAAGAGATGCAGTTTGTTCTTCTTGCCACAGTAATAATTCATGGACTTGTTCTAATTATATCAGGCAAGTGAGATTAGTAACAACAACAACTTGCTTCCAATAAGAAGAATGAATGATCCAGAATACTGGAGTTCTTTTACACTGTAATGTTACATGTTATATGTCTAACACCTTAGACTTAAAAGTCTTTATTTACTTGAGATAGCAGTATCATGAATTTCATTTTATTCTGAATCTCTTTCCTGTGAAAAAATATGGATTTATCTGCAACACTTTACACACACACATTTTTTTTTTTTTTTAATTATTTGTTTTCAAATCATGACTGCATTCTTGGCCAAAAGTTTAAGCACAGTGGCAGAGCTAGGAGGATCAAGGGGAAACATCGGTCACGGAGTGCAGCATTCAGGGGCATTAAACTAATGCTATGAATTAAGACACAATAACACACCGAATAAATACTAATTCAGAAGTCAAACAACAAAAAATTATTTTTGTTGTTTGACTTTTGAATTAGTAATGCTATGAAATTTTAGAATGAAATGCTTTCATTCTTGGCAAACAGGAAGGGGGTGCAAAATCATCACTTGTCCCTGGCACTGAAAACCCTAGCTAGGGTTCTATTTAAGCATTGGATTAGTAAGCAATGGTTTTTGGATCTGATTTTATCTGACGATGATACCATTTCAAACAGCAGACAATAATTATTTCAACTGATATTTACAGTACCTGTAAAGCCTTCTTTAGAGCGCTCATTAATCATAGGTGCCAAATTAGGGACAAGAGACAGGGACATAACTCCCTCCAATTAATCAAAATTACCACATCATAGCAGCCCCTGATTTCAACTCAAAACGGGTTCACACATGACTATCCATAGTGTAGTTTTTCACATGTCCTTCAAGATATACATACTCAACACTGCACCAGATTTACATCAGACTGGGAAGGCAAATGGTGTAGCAACATTTAAAACACAGAAAATATACCTCCAGTCTGGTCTTGGATCACAAATACACTTTTGGTGCGAGTATTTAAGCATCAGGTTAACAGAAATCGCTGCCAGGTTTCACCATTGCTAAATGATGGTAGATAACTGGAACAAGAAGATCAGTTACAACAATAGTAAGCATTGAACCACACATCTCATTAGATAGCATCACTATTGCAGTATTAATTCACTGCTCATCAAAGATACAAAATGCCAAGCAAATCAAGAATAAAGAACATAACTAATTTCTAAAGGTTTATAATTTTGCACTCTTCAAAAAGAAGTTTGAATAAAATTAAGTAACAATTTAACCAGAGACTGTATTTCTACTTCATAAATTAAACAAAATTAAAACCCACCCATCATCAGAAACAGAGAGCATAAATACACAAAAAAGAAATCAAAATCAGAAACTTACTTCTGTTTTTCAGTTTTATGTCTAAGTACAAGACCTTTAGCCAGTTTCTCTAAAGATTTCGAGTACTCCAATTCCACTTCTGCTCTTCGTCGGAAATAGTCTTGGATCTCCGATACCAGGCTCACTTGTGTTTCCACTCGCACATCCAAGCATTTTAACTGCTCATTTAACTGCTGACGAATATCTAGAAAGAAATAAGCAAAACTTAATTCTCTTTTGGACTAAGCATAAGTTACTCAAAAAGATAGCAATGGGCTTCTACTTTCTGATAGAATGATCTTAAGTTTATTATTGTAAATATACAGAATTTTACGAAAACCCTTTTTATAATATTGGGGACATTTAATAGGCCCCCTAAAAATCTTAGTTTTTTATCTGCATCTTGCAATGACAGATTTATGAAATGATATGCCCACCTTACTTACCTTTTGGGGTTCTCCTTATCTCGAGATGCAGCACGATTACTATTGTTAAAAAAATAAGGATGCAGAACACTTGCAATTGTTACTTGCAAGAAGGTTTGGCTCACAGTCTCTGCAGAGTGAAATAAACTTAATAATAAAACAGTTATAATATTTAACTAGTTATAACCAGAGCTGGATTTAGACTTAATAAGGCCCTAAGCTATTTGAGATATTGGGCCCATTATAAGTCTGTTAAACTATATTTAAATTTTTTGGGGACCCTAAGAAAGTGGAGGCGGCCTATACGTAAATCCTGCACTGATTATAACAAAAACTTTACTTGCAAAATTTATGCATTAATCTATTATCAATTTAAATTCAAGATTTTCTATAGAAGCAGTTACAATGCAAAAGCTTCTTATTTTATTAATTTAATGGTTTTATCTTAGTGAAACATTGCCATAAAATTTTGATTTAATATTTCTTTTTAAAAAATTTAGAAAGAATACCTCAGTGAATTTTACAAGTAATGTGATAGTTTTTTAAACTCACTTAAAAAAATGGACATTTTTTCATTAGAATATTTTCTCAATGGAGATAAAGTTTATTTAATTTTTTAATAGAATTTTTCTTATCTATGGGCCAAGATTGATTTTATAAAATCTTGTCCCTTATTGTAATGATATTTGTATTTATAAACAGATGTCTGGAAAACTCCTGGTCAACTGTTCTAGATATTCTGTATATCATGTAAATATCAATTTAGTATTTAAATCAAAAACAAGTTAAAAAATTAAAGTTGCACATTAAAAGATGAATCTTTTACTTATTCGGTTGTGTAATACTAATGAATTCTGCGCTGAATGATCTGCATGATTTCTGTTATTATTTTACCAGATTTCATTATTCAAGGAAATAAAGATTACAGCTGCATAGTATTTAAAAACTTCAAAAACCAGCAAGATGAACTTATTTTATTATTATATATTTCAACAGCACATACTTTAAAAGGAAAGGATATTTAATGGGCATGACTAGAAAAGTAAATCAATAACCGGAAGAGGGCAAAAATCAACTCTCAATAAACTGAGTACGCATAAAGAATATAATCATTATTTTCACAACCATACAGCGATCACTTCGTCAGCAACGAGCAAAACAAAGTAATGAACATTGTGATAATGTAGAAATAGATAGAGAGATTGAATTCCGCGCGTTGCTAAGCAACAACGTGCATTGACTTGCGTGAACCAATCAATCAGGAGGGAAAATACGGGTGCAAAGATCCGAACCGCGCCCATGGTATTCAGAAAGCGCCTTCACAAACTGCTTACTCCATTTGTGAAACAACATTAATGTTTATTCCCAGAGCAGTTACAATGGAAGAAAGACAAATCAAATGTGCAGGAAACATTTGGGGTTAGCTTCGTCACCAAGAAATGCACAGATGAGTTTTCAGCAACTGAGTCTTTTCTTCATAAAATTAGTGCAAAAATCTCCAGTAGGCGCATTATAATGGTGAAAAATCCATGAGTTATTTCGCCACAATTCAAATGTTTCATTTCCTATAAATGGCGGAAAACGCACAAATATACCTGGTGAACAGTTTTGCTTGTCAATAAAAATCGAAGAAGCACAATATGACGACAATCAACAAAAACAGTCAAAATTATCCTGATTTTTGATAAATTTGAAGTTGTCAGGTGTAGTTTCACCTTTCAAATGGCAATCATTCCATTGTTCAGGTGTTCTGGAATCAAAAACTTACTGGCAGTCTTCAGTAGCAGCAGAAACGCGATGTTTTAAGAAGGATCCATCTTGATAAATTACTTCCTGAGCCGCTAGAATGCATTGTAGTTTTTATGGGGGGGGGGGGGATATTTTTAAAACAACCCGAGAAGAGATGAATTTTCAAAATTGCTTCAGCAGATCCAAGTGATACAGCAAATGGTTCAACAATACCTTAAATTAACTACTATCGCCGAGTAAAAAATTTTTCATTACTCGGTGCGGGTCGGTACGCATTCTCTGCCTTAAACATCTGATATCACTCAAACTGTTGTTTTGATAAAACAGTTTTCTTCAAGGACACTTTCTGCTTCATTTCGAATGCTTCTGTAGGAGAAATCGCGTTGCGAAAATAAATTAATGTAATCGTCGAAGCAAAAATTCTTTTTTCATTAAAAACGAATTTACTTGCAGAAGAAAAAAGGAACCGAAATACGTACTGTTACTAGATGTCGACGAAAGTTCTTTTACAACTTAAGCGATTTCTTGCACGTGCATATTTTAGATGAATCATTCATGGGTCTAAGTACACTTTTAAATAATTACTGTATGTACCGTAGGGTGTACAGTACTCCAACTGCGCGAATGAAAATCCCCTCCTCGTCCTGGTATTGTCCAACTGCGCGAATCCAAATTTCTTCCCCCCGTTGCCTACAGGGTTACAATTTTACTTTTCGAAACCAATTGTAGCCAAGAGGAAATTAATTATAAAGCATACCAATCGTATTTTTTATAAATGATATCAATAATACTCATGATGTCTGAACTAGACTGAAAAATTTAGTATAGCTCACTGGCGTGCAAAAGATTATTCCGTATCAAAGGGTGCTAGAAATATTTTTTGTTAATTAAAGTAATCATGTAAATGTTTCCAGAAATTAATAGTTAAATTTAAAAAAAGCTTAGCATGAAATCTATTATAACAACATGAGTATGCGTTTGATGTATAAATTGTAAATTAATTTTAATTATTATGATAACATACAAACTTTAATACAGCGCAACAATTTGTGAAAAAGGAATGGATTAAAAGGGAACTGAAAATCCCAAGATATGAATGAATATAAGGGAGTTCGATTTTTATTTTGTTAATAATGAAAATTCTGCAGATGCTCATAATTATCAAATTATTAATTAAACATACAGTAATAAGGGAGTTCGATTTTTATTTTGTTAATAATGAAAATTCTGCAGATGCTCATAATTATCAAATTATTAATTAAATGCGCATTAGAAATTAAATGTATGCCAAAGTACATCAGGTAGATAACTGGAAAACAGAATAAATATTTAAACGTTTCTAGCATTAAAATAAGGGAATTTGTGAAAGAAAGTTAAATAAACTTAAAATAACCATAAATAATAAACCAATAAATAGTTAAAGTAACTTCAATGACTAAAAATGGAAAGCCTTAATACGGCAATATATTGCAATACTATTAGTGTGAATTTAGAACCACTTAAGAAATCCAATTTTTAGATTTAATAAAGAGAATTGTTTAAATTAAATTCAGAACTGTTTACCTTAAAATGGTAAATTTGATAGTTAAAACCATTCTGCTATCTAAGATGATTTGTTAATATTTATGCAGACAAGAATCTTATTTAAGGTGCCCTACAAATCCGACATTTGATAGGTTAATTATGTATCAGTTTTGTGTATGTCATTAATCTATCAATTTTATTATTCAAAACTGATATATATTTAATTACTGGTGTATATATATATTAGCGACTAAAATCTACAACTTGGAAAGTTTCTAATTCTTACAGAGAATAAAAAAGATCTGGCTCATCATCTTTTAAGCATCATAAAACTTTAAAATGAGTGTAAAAGAAATTCATTTTTACTTTAGCACACCCCTGACTTTAAATTAATATTTGTTTTGCATGCACAATTTTTACAATATTGAAAAACGAAAATAGAGGCTTGCAGTCTTAATAAAATGTCCCATTAATGGAGATAAATGACATTTTGTAGCGCCCAGTCTTCTTGGTTAAGAAAGAGGTGACAGGAAACGTCTGGCAGTTCGTGGATTAGATAAGAAGGGGGAGGGGATCTTCGATCAAATTTCGCGCAGTTCGTACCCTACTGTACCGTATATGTTGAAAATGGAAAGACAAAAATTATTTTTGAAGAAAAAGAGGTTTTAATTTATTTAAATGAAAAAGTAACACTTTTGCGTACATGTTATTAGCATACTTACAAGTGCGAATACAGTACTTGCAAGCGCTGAAAGTCATTGCTTGCTGAATATCTCGGTCAAAGTAAGCTGTTTGACGCACACCGTGCCTGCACTAAAATTTCTTAGCCACCCGTTACTTGCTTTAACACGTTGAGCGCCACGTCAGCCATCTGTGGCTGACACTAGACTTTTCCGTTTAGGCCGCGTCAGCCATCTGTGGCCGACACTAGACTTTCCCTTTAGGCCGCGTCAGCCATCTGTGGCCGACACTAGACTTTCCCTTTAGGCCGCGTCAGCCATCTGTGGCTGACACTAGACTTTCCGTTTAGGACCGCGTCAGCCATCTGTGGCCGACACTAGACTTTCCCTTTAGGCCGCGTCAGCCATCTGTGGCCGACATTAGACTTTCCGTTTAGGCCGCGCCGACCGCCGCTGTCTGACAGTGTGTATCATGATATATAACTATAAAATTTACACTTTTATGGAATTACAGAAAATTTATTTAAAATTTACTTAATTTTGATTCATGACAGGACTAAGGGATTTCATTGAAACACGGTAAATATAAAAACGGTTCTCCATTACTGCTAACACAAAATGTGACAACTCTCTTAGTCGTTTTTCTAGCCATTACTCCTGACCCTACAATACCAGCGCTTTTAAGTGGCGCGCGTGGCCTGAATGGGATTGCCTAAGAAATACGCGTGGCGCTCAACGTGTTAAAGGATAAACAACCAAGCTTCTGAGCTAAGATCTTAGCTTTCTTGCAAGGAATCGGACCCGCTAATAACGACATTTTCTAAATT